GACTTAACACAGGAAGGGCCTGAGGTCCTCCAGGGTAGGAGGGCCTTGTAAGGTGGCCAGGGACTGAGACTCAGATCTCTGGGACAGAGGCTGCCACTTCCTAGGAAGGCCACTAGCTTCCCTGGGCACCCACCTGCTGGTCCTTGCTCTGCTCATTGGTACCACGTGATCCATCTGACCCCCTTCCATGGTCAAAGAGGACATCCTGCCTGGTTCATGAGTCGCTGATGATAACTGAGACCTACTGTGCGGGATGAGGCGCCTACATGGTGCTTTTCACTGCTGCCAGGCTGAACACCCGAAATGCCACTGGCCTTGTCAGCCAGGGTGTCAATCATTATCATTCCAGGCGCACTCTACCCTGCTGAGTGACGGCCACCACACAGGGATGCCATTGGCACAGCCTGGAGTCTACCCAAAATGTCCTTCCCTCGCCTGAGGTGCTCTCTGTCTCTGACTCGTGCGCCTTGACTTCCCGACACCACCCGAGTCTGCCACCATTCCCCCAGTGCCACCACCTAAGACACCACGACACCATGTCCCATAACCACAATCTCCCTGCAGCCGCACAGCCTAAGCTTCATGATGCAGCCACGGGGGCTTTTTAATTGCAAACCTAACCACGCAGTCCCCCAACTTAAGAGCCATTTTCTCAGGCTAAGACCCAAACTGACATGGCCCAGGATGCTGAGAGTGACCCCTCCTCACTTCCCAGCTCAGGTCCAGCCACCTCAGCCCTCTCGCCGTCTCCACACAACCCCAGGGCCTTTGCACACACAGCTTGCTGTTCCTAGAATTCTCTGCCTGACCCAAAACACACTGACACGCACACACATTTGCACATGTGTGCACGTACATGTTCTCTACGCAGTTAACATTTACTTATTTTAAACACTCTCACAGGCCCATGTTTCTCTCCGTCAGAGTCCTAATGCTGGTGTATAATTGCACACACTCCTTTGGATCACAGGTGACAGTGGTTGCCTATCAGGGGGAAGCTCGGGACAGTTTCAGCTCCCAGGCAGCCCCAGGGCTCTGCTCAGCAGTTGGTTCGCATCCAGGCATGACTGAAAGACTCAGCCAAGCACCGTAGCACTGAGTATCAAGGACAGGCACTGACCATCCGACAGCCCAGTCCTGGGGTCCACCTGCAGAGCCGTGGTCGATGACACCCATTGCCCACCATCGCCATGTCCTCTTCCTGGGCAGAAAGCTAGACTCCAGCTCCCAGCCTGCCTTGCAGCCAGCCTTGCCATGCCGCGGGCTCAGCCTCTGGGGCGGAGAGGAAGTGCGGTCTGTCCCTCCACAGCCTGGGCCTGGGGACCCCCCACATGGGACCCAGGGGTGTGGACACTTGAAAAGTGAAAGCAGGTCTCCGTCAGCCAGTGTGGAACACGTCAGTGTCAAGTTCAAGAGGGAAAGTCGGAACATCAAACTGAACACAGGTTGTGACCTTCTCATCCCAGATAGGAATCAGCCCAAGAAGGGTCCCGAAGCCCGTCCCCGCCAGCAGCGAGTCTCAGGACTGAGTGGGGGAGTCCCGTCAGATTCTTATGCTCTTTGTGTTTCTCTGGACTTTTATGATACTTATGAATTGCTTTTGTTGTAAAAATAAAGCTCTTTTCCCTGAAATAAAAGCATCAGGGGTGCCTTGCACTCTTGCTGGGAGCAGCCCCCACCCCGTGGGCTCACATCCCAGCTCCCAGCCCCAGGGGCGCCCCAGGTCTCCGCCCACTGCCCACCTGTGAGGACAGTCATGTCCCACTGCTCCTGGCTCAGCTGAGCCGCAGGAGAAAGACAGGCCACCCTTGGTGTGTTTTCACATATTTGAAAGATTAAACTGGCCCCCTGGGCAGCAGAGAACTTGCCTGTGTTGACCACTAGCTTTTTGTACACTAGCCCAGCCCCCCAAGTGAAGGGGAAACTAGAAGCGCATAGCCCAGCGCCAGGCCCAGGAGGAGGCGGTGGGCAGGACCAGGCTGCTGCCCTGAGGCGGGTGGGACCTGGAGCCACCTGCTCTCATCTGAGCCTGGAGCCGGCCCTTGGGAACAGGCCCTCTAGTGCACTGCCTGCTGTGTGCTGGAGACGGCTGCTCTTACAGACGCCCCACAGGTGCCAGACACCACCCAGGAGCCGTCTGCAGACAAGGACAGCCTGGGGCACCTTCTCTGCCAGCCAGACGGTCATACCGGAGGCAGGGCAGAGGCCCCAGGACCCAGCCTCCCGAGGCTGCCTCAGCTCCTAGCTCGAGGCCCTGTAGGATCTGGGCCTCATGGCACCTTGGTCACACTCACACTCGAGCTCCTCCAGGGGCCACCCTGGGTGGCTCCCAGCACCCCAGGACTCACGCCACTTCCTGGCCAGCCCCTCCCGGGAGACCCCAACTCCTCTCCTCCTCTGTGGGGCGCTCAGACGTCCCGCCAGGCAGATGCTTCAGCGCCAAGGCTCCTCTGTTGCCCTTGTGGGCGTGTGGCCGTGATGTGGGCCGGCCATGCTGCCTGGGCACCTGTGGCCACTTTACGCTCTGAAGGGGTCATTGCTGCTCTGCCTCTGCGGCTTATTTTTAAAAGGAGCGTCTCTTCTCTTCCTGTCCCTGAGCCTCCCTCCCCAGCCTCAGGGGAAACAGGGTCACTCTCGTCCCTCCCTCGGCAGTCTCCTGTCCTTGAGCACCCCACCAGGAACCAAGGACTCAGACCTGGGATGGCACAGGAGGTCTCAGAAATGGCTTCTCCCCAATCCACAAGCGAATCACGGCTCCAACAGAGAAGCCCTGGAAGGTGGCCTTGAGTCACCTCTAAAGCCCTGGTCTCCCTGGTGGACAGAACCACAGCTCCTGGGACAGGAGGCCCCTGGGCTTCTCCTTTGCTCAAAACCATGTCCTCGTTATTGGACTGGCACCAGGGGCAAGGACTGAGCTTTGGTGAGAACCAGGCAGTGGAGGCTGCTGTGCTGTCCTGTGCCCATCCTGCAGGTGGACACTGGAAGCTACTTGTTGCCGCGCCTTCCCCCACCTCAGATGGCAGGTCTCGGCCTTCCCCCCAGGGGTCAGCTGGGTCAATCCAGCTCAGGTGGCCTCAGCAGCCTCCTTAGCTCCGCCTGGGTACAGGCTGAGCCTGTCCAATCAGGGCATTGCACACCCTGGGTCAAACTGGAGGATTTAGGGGTGATCATATCACCCATCAAGGCCCAGGTGAGGGCTTTTCAGAGAGAGAGATGGATCTCGTCCCTGCAGACTGTGAGTCTGGGGAGTGAGGTGAAGGTCTATCTGTCCATGGGGTCAACGCAGAGGAAGCACTGTTAAGAATTAGGAAAAAAGTAATGGAGTGTTAGAAACATTTAGCCCTTGATCAAGCCATGCCTGAAGAGGCCCTTCAGTCACTCCAGACAGTCAATTTCCTTTATGCTTAAGTCCCTTTGGGTTGGGTACTTATCAGTGACAACAAAGAAGGTCAGAATGGATGAGCCTCCTCCCAGTGCTGCAGCCACACCAGGGTCTCTGCCACCTTCCTCCTGCCACTACCCCTGTGCTGAGGGGCTTTGCACAACCTCTCGTGGGCACAGAGATTCACTCAAGGGCCATCAAAATCCACATCAAGGCCTAAGCGACAGCGACCTCAGGCCCAGGAAAGCCCGCCCTGCTTGAGGTTACTGCTGGGTCACAGCGCTGACCCCAGCTTCTCGCGGCTTCCCTGCAGGGGATGCCCTTCCCTGCACCCCCCCCCCCCCGTGCTCATGAAGCTCCTGCCATCCTTCAGGGTCCGACTGGCCGTCCTCCTGCACCCTGGACACGAGACAGGGTGAAGGACAGGCAGTCGGCAGCGGTGACGAATGCTGGGTTGGCCGGAGAGATGAGGCTCATCATCAGGGAGAAGGAAATGGGTCCTGACACCTCGGCACGTCCCCGCGCACCCAGGGCCAACCCCTCGGCCTCCCAACACAAGGAGCCGCTCCTGAGTGCCCCTGGGCTGCTCTGTGCCTACCTCGGGGCAGGCAGGATGGAAAGGGGAGCTGGGAGAGGGAATCAGAGACCCCGAAGGGAGAGAAGACACCCTCCCAGACAGCAGCTGGCCCCTCCTCTCTGAGAAGTCCGCCGTCTCTGTTTGGGCTCTTTCTCAGATAAAATTTGCTTTCTGTGTCTCCTCTGGTGTTGAAGGTTAGACGTGGAGAACAGGACCCGATCCTGAGGGCCAAGAGCAGTACCAGCATGACCTCCCAGGCGCCAACCCCAGCCACCTGGCTCCCGCCAGACCCCATCTGTCCCATCTCAGAACTCAGCCCTTGGTCCACCTGCCTGGTCTCGGCCAGGCCAGCCCTCATGGCCTCCGCCCAGCCAGCCTTCCTGGCCTGGGTCCTGCTGGCCTCTGGCTGTGGGCTCGCCCCCTGCTCCCTCTCCCGGCAGCAGGGGAATCACTGTGGCAGGACGCTGGGCAGGGCGAGGGCTGGCCACACGCATACCGTGCCTCACTTGTCCCCACCCTGGGCACAGCCAGCCCATGGCCTTTCTTCCCAGGAGCCCCAAGACTCCTGGCCCCGGGGAAAGAGGCCATCAAAGGCAGCAACACAGTCCCAGGGGGTGGGGACGAAACCCACCAGCTGACCTCACACTGCAAGACAGGTGCTTTGGGCCCTGGTGCATAGTAGGCCCGCAACAGACCTTGTTTTCAGTCAACAAATATCGTCCGGCTCTACTCTGAGTGATGTTCTGTTGGAATTACGAGACAGACACTAGCTCTCCACGGACAAGCTTCCCCTTTCCCGGCCGCGCGGATGTGGTCAAGGGAGAAGCCGAGAAGCCGGGCCTCCGGGAGCCCGCCCTGCCCATCCACACCCTGTGGCGCCCCAGCAAAGGCCCCCCTGCTGGGCCCGTAACCAGGTTCTTGAGACTTGGAAGCCACGTGGGCCCTTGACTCTGAGCCCTGCGCCATCCCCCTGGTGGCCCCCAGGCTGATGAGTTTGACCCTGTGTCAGAGACCCACGTGGCAGAGACGGTCCCTCCTTACCTCCAGTCTCGTCCGGTCCACGTCTTTGGGTAGCTTCACGCGGATTCGGTTGGTGACGATGAGCGCGTCATATGGGTAGACCTGCGGGGAAGCCAGGGCTCGCAGGAGGCCCGGGAGCGCTGGGCCGCGCCCACCAGAGGACAGAGCCAGGCACACACTTGCGACAGCTCCGGACACAGACACTCATAGGAAAAGCAAGGAAAGATGGTTTAACCTGGGCAGCGGCTGGGCAGGTGCGGGCGGCGGCGGCCTCTTACCTTGTACTCTGTAAGACAAGAGCGAGAGCACAGGGCCCTTTAGGGAGCACGGAAGGCGGCCAGGAGCGGAAGCTTCCCATCCTGGGGACCCTGAGCCACCTGCAGTCAGCCCGGCCATGCACGGTCTCCTGGTCCCCTGAGCAGCCTGCGCAGGTCTATCTGGGGCAGTAGACGGGGCTCTGAGGTCTCCCATGCGAGACAGAGCAGGAGGCATGGCCAGGAGGCTGGAGGACAGACTGGAAGCTGGGCGGCGGCACTGGCTCTCGGCTGCGACGCCGTCTCCCCTGGTGGTGGGCCACCCTGAGACCTGCCTCAGTTTACCCTCGCGTGCAGTGGGTGCTCCAAGGCTACCTTCTGGGAGGGCTGTGGAGACGGACGCCCCTGCGGCTGACCCTCCCCTGCTCCTTCCCTGTTGAGTCTTCCTTCTCTGTTTTAAACCATGGAGCTCCACCACAGACGTGAAAAGGTTTCCCTTCCAACTAAGAGCGTCTTAGTAAAATCGAAACCTCCAGAGAGCAGGGCCTCCATGCACACGGGACCTCAGAAGCCAGGGTCAGTCTGACCCGCCCAACAACAGCTGTGAGGGGCCGGTCCTCAAGGTCCCCTCATGCAGGGGTGTCCCGATGTGCCAGCTCTGAGGCCTGGGGATGTGGACGACCACCCAGAGGAGCAGGCTGCAACACCCTGACGCCGTCACCCTCGTGCAAACCAGCAAGGCTCCAGCAGTCCAGGGGTGACGAGGAGGGGAGCTGGCCGGCACGGGACCCGCTCGGAGCTGGGAGAGCAGCCTGTGGTGCAGCCCTGCCATGTGAGCAGGTGGCCACTCCAGGAATGCCAGCCCCCAGTCACCCTCCTGGCTTGGAGCCCAGCGTGTCACAGGCATGCCAGTGGCCACACGGGGAGACAGGGTGCTCTGTTGCGCCCGGGCCCTAGAAGCTGTTTGCCTGAGGCTCTGCTGCCCCGAGTGAGGCAGAGCACCCAGCACACCAGGACAGGCCCCTGCACCCCAACGGGAGATGGGAGCACCTCGGGCAGAGGATGGCCTGGAGGTCAGCTGACTCTCCCCCTGGGGGCCCTGTCTGCGGTGCCCTGGGCCTTCTGCCAGCAGGCCCCGGAGGCGGCCTCAGGATGAGATGGTGGAAATGTGTTAGCGACCCCCGGCCCAGTCAGAGACCCACAGGGTCCCCGCTGCGTGTACCTCGCGTGCCCCAGCTGGCATCCGGGTCTGCTCCACAAGGGGCCACATTGGCATTCTGGAAAAGAAAGAGAGAGAGGGCGGCAAGAGATGGGCTGCAGGCGGCCGCGGGGCCTGGAGATGCTCCTCCTCGCAGGCCTCGAGAGGGGGCATCCGGGCAGCGATCGGCTGAGATGACGGACAGACGCGAGGCCCAGCTCGGGAAGCCGTGTCCGGGGCTCCCATCCTCGCCTCGGAGGCTGCCAACCTGCCTTTAAAGATGACCCCAGGGGCCTGGGGGCCTGCTCTGGAGCGGGCATGGGTGGCTCAGCACTGCTCCCCCAGCTCACCTGTGCAGGCACCTGTGACGCCTCTGCCACCCCTCACCACAGGCTCACACGCACTGTGCCCAGTGCTCTGGTGGACCTAGGAGCCACACATGCCCCCTGACCCCTACAAGACCACCACAGGGGAGCACTGGCCAGCGCCTCCTGCTCTCCCCCTAGAGGCCCTGGCTCCCAGCCACAGCGCTCCAGGCACCTGTGTGCCTGTCAAAGTCCACCTGCCCCAAGGCTCCGGGACAAGAGGGGCCTCGTCTCCTCTCTGGAACCCAGGCTCCAGCAGGTCTGCGGGTGACCGTTGAGGATTGAAGGAGCCCAGGTGCAGAAGTCCCTGGCACAGGGCCTGAGTTGTCATAAGCACTCTTTACGGAGGGGCTGAGTCTGAGAGGGCATGGAGCTGAGAGCCCCTGGCCGCCTGCTCAGGCACCTCAGTCATTTGCCCGTGGCCTGCTGCTGCAGACTCTGCCATGTTAGAGCATCGTGGCCATTTGTGTCTGGAATTCTCTTTCCCTTCTGCCCACTGGAAAAATCATTGGCACAACCTGTGAATGCAGGGCCCCCACAGGGGCTGGTCCAGCCCTCTCCTGTCCGCCTCCTGCACTCTGCCTGGCATCTGGGTTAGAGTGACACTCAGATGGCTCGAGTACCTGCTGCCCTCAGCAGCTGAGCCCTGAAGTGTCTTATTCATGCCCTGGTCCCCAGCACCTGGACCAGGGTCTCAAATAGGGTCAAAACCATTGGCCACTGCCCCTGAGGCTGGGCCCAGGGACTATGTTTCTGGAGTCCTGCTGTCCAGGGGCTCATGGGCTTGGCCCAGTGGGTACTCTTACAGGGAAAATTGCCTTCAGCAATAATCAGGAGCTGGTTACAGCCCTAGGGAGTGCCGGAGCGGAAAAAGACCCCAGTCCAAAGCTCTCCATATGAAACAGGGAAACTGAGGCCCAGAGAGAAGCTGGGACCCAGCCTCCAGGACGGGCTGGGCGCATGAGTGGGGCCGGAACTGGCCTTTACTCAAATTTTTGGTATTTTGTTCACCACGGACTTAATGCATGGGTTTGTGTTTCTAAAGATATTGCTTTAAAAGATGCGGCATCTCTTGGAGGTGCCTCCCTCGCCCCATCGTCCTAGTCCCCAGTCCCGGGCCAGGGTCCTCACCCCATCCGGGAACTCTCCACCACTTTATCGCAGGCCTGTCCAAAAAGTTTTCTTAGACATTTTTGCAATCTCACTCAGATCAGTGCCCTAGGTGCGCCTCTCCTGCCAGGGAGCCTCCCGAGAGGCATAAAGCAAGGTGGACCTGGCTCTGCCCGCCTCTGCCCACCTCTGCTTGCCCGGCCCAACGAATGTGAAGGAGAATTGCTGCCACCTAGTGTCCGTCTCCCCACATCACAGTTGTCGGGAGGCCCAGGCTATCACTTCCTTGCCGCAGAACCAGCTTGCAGGAAAGGACCTCAGGAGGGAGGTGGGCATTGTCAGGTGGAGGAGCGGTCCCAGGGTGGTCCAGGGCAGGGCAAATGGAGCCTACTCCTGGTCTTCTAAGTGCAGGGGCCAGCTCTGGAGGTGCTGGGGATTTTAAAGACAGCACATTATTTGTCCCTTTCATGGCTTGGCACTTACTATGATGGCTGCTCTACAGACCCAGTCTCTAATCTTGCTGAAAGTCCAGGAGGTGAGCATTACCACCACCATGAGGCCCAGAGATGTTAAACAACTTGCCAGATCACAAAGCAAGTATACAGAACGGAAGAAACTTGAACCCAGGTGTCTTACTTTTCAAAACTCACACCAGGATTGCTAACAGGATGCCACGTGGCCACCCAACTACCAGTCTTTTCTCACTAAGCTCATGTGGGAATGTGCCACCCCACTCAGCAAACACTGAGGGAAAGAGGGCTGGGGACTTGCTTTGAAGTGTTACGGGGCTTCTGAAGAGACTCACCACTCGGATGCTATTTGTCCTCATCATAATGTTAGAGGCAAGGACTTTTTCTTTTCTAGATTCTAGGAAATGACTCAGAAGATTTTAGTAACTTGCTGAAAGACAGAGCTGGCACCGGACTCGGGGCCTCCAACTCCCAGGCACGGGTTCTTTCCAGGATTGTAGTTTGTTATATCAATTTGTTAAGATTTTGTTGTATCCAAGTAGACAAATAAGTGGAAACCAGATTAAAACGACACTTCCCGTGAACCAATTAGATTAGACTTACTATTTTGGCTCTTTAATTGCTATCTACTTTATTGTTATTTTTTGATTATTAAGTCCACATCTTATTTCAGTAGAGCCACTTCCGATCCCTACCACCCTGGCACCTGCTCCGGGTCTGGATTGCCAGGCTGCCGGGTGCGTCTAGGCCGAGGAATGCTCTCACAGCTTCCTTGGATCGGCCTGATCAGGAGTCGGTGTCTCCTTTTTACACTGCCAACTCCATGAACTTGTTTAACCTCAACCTCCTTATCTGAGACTGATACGATGTCAACATCTTCCCCCTGTTTTCAGATATTTTAGCATCTCTTTCTTACCCTTTCACTTTTACTTGTTTAAAAATAATTCTTAAGTGTGCATTTTGTAGTGACACACGACGACAATGCTATTTTCTGGATCCAACTTGACAGCTTTTGTCTTTTAATAAAGGGATTCCTCCTATTACCATTTAGCAAAATGGAACCACTTTCAGGGAGCCACCAAAAGGTCCTACGGGCGGCCAGTGACCATTCTCCTAACCCCTGACTGGGTGGTGTGCATCTGAGTCACCCTGTCTCACCCACAGGGAGACCTGCAGTGGTGGCTGTCACTGTCTACTCCGTGGGTGGGCGGTGAGCATTCCCTGCTGGGCAGGCTTGGCTGTGGGGCCATCTGACCTTGGAGACACAGGGTACTTTGGACGACGACTGGGGCCTTGTCACAAAGTCCTTTTGGAGCAAGACCTAGGGAGACCTTTGCCCCTTGAACTTTTTTCTTTTCTTCCATCAGACTCCACAACTGGTCAAGGCCACGTTGAGTCTGTGCCTCGAAGCAGGGAGGCTCAGAGCTCAGCCCTGACGGCTGTCCTCACACAGTGGCCTTTCTCCTCCAGTCTCCCTCCTGCCTCAGCCTCCCGTGGCCGGGGTTACAGAGGTGCACCACCACTCTGGATTCTCCTGTGATCTGGTGTTAACGGGACTTTGGTCTGACTGCACTTGTACTTTTAATTAGGCCCCTACGAGTTCTTTCTGGATGAAAAACAAACCAAGGAACCACTAACAGTGACTCTGGGGCACCGCAGGCCATCAGCAAAGAAGCATGGACAAGCACTGGTTGGGAAGCCCAGGGCCAAAGGCCAGAGTCCAGTGCTGGGCCTGGCTGCAGGGTAAAGGCTGGTCATTAGGTCGCGTAGCTGGCCTTCCCGCTGAGAAGTAGGCAAAAAAACACACAAGGTCTTAGAAAGAGTAAAAAACATTGAAAAGATCATTAGGAGGGAAAATAGGCGCCCAGAACCAAGCTGCCAGCGTGGCCACCCACCTTCCCGCAGCAACACGAAGGCTGAGAATCAAGTGAGGGCCAGCCCTGGGCCAGCAGGCCTTCCCCACTGGTGGGCAGAGGACAGGAGTTGGTCAAAGTTGGCTCTTAATCCTGCTTCCCTTGTTCTGGGAGGGATGGACCCTGCCCTGCCAGAACATCGGGCCAGCTGTTCTCTGCCCAGGAGGTGGCACTGGAGACCCGGACCTCTGTGGCCACAGGGCACCCAGCACCTTCGCCATGTGAACCGAGGGCCTGTCCTGAGGACAGCAGGCGGGGGACAGGCGCCCTCCCTCGATTCCTCACACACCTGACCTGGGTGGGGACACTTGTCTTGGTTTTGGGGTTCACACTGTGCCCACGGCCCCGGGTCAGAGAACGGCTGTTCCAGGTGAGAAGAGAACGTGCCAGACGGTTCTCCCGCCCAAGCTTTCCGTGACGGGTGCGATAGGAGGCCTGGGCACGGAGCCCTTGGCCCTGCTTTCCCTGTGGAGGACGAAGGGGAGCGACTGCTTCTCACACGCTGCATGTGCGGTCCTGCCATTCTCAACGGGAGGAGCGGTTAGTGTGGGGGGGGGGCTGCTAGAATCCACTGTGCAGGGGCTCCCGGGCCTGGGTCCGGAGCTGGGCCTCGGGACAGACATAGCGGCTCTCCTGACACCTGAGGAAGCAAAGGCCCAGGGACCCCCTGGCTCCTGGAGGTGGCGTCCCTGCTCGTAGGAGTGTCCTGGAGCCCTGACCCTGAGGAAGGAGTAGGACAGGTGTCCCTGGCTACCCTGGCCACTTCTGCTCCCAGGCACAAACAGGGCCCTGGGTTTTTAGTGGCCTCTCTGTTCATTTATAGAAGAACTTCTCCAAGCTGGAAGAGGCCTCCTCGGGGATGTCTCCTGGGGCTGGGTGTCCATGCACCATCAGCACCCCACCCCGTGATTCTCTGGAGGACTCGTGGGGCTGTGGGAAGAGTGTCAGAAATGAGCTGCTCATCATGAGGCTGACTGAGCCAGGGTGCCAGGCTCAGTACCAGCTGTGAGCACCCAGATGCCCCGGTTTCCAGAGCCTCGGGAGCAGGAGCCGGCACTCCCTGGCAAAAGAACGCTGAGCAGCACAGTGACCAACCTCTGCATTCCAAACAGTGGCACGGGGCCGAGGGGCGATGGGTAATGACCATGCGATGGTAATGAGGGTGGCAGCCAATGGCATCCCAGCCCAGGACGTGGTGCTGGGCTCCCGGGGCTCATGAGCTACAGCAGCCTTCCTGGGCTCCGCTCAGAGGAAGAAGTAGGCCCTGGGGGGCTTCTTGCATCAGGGCCTGGTCACCCTGGGTAGTCCCCATCCCCTGGTCCGCCCCACTGCGGTCTTCCTGAGGACAGGGACAGAGCAGTGGGGAGCCATGGAGCCGCGGCCTGTTCTGTTCCTAGTGTGGGAAAAGTGGGGAGGCAGCGGCCCCCAGCGGGGCATCAGGCAGAGGCGGGCGGCGAGCAGGGCCAGGCCGCTCCTCCTGGCTGTGGTCAAGAAGCTGTGTCGGGGTCGGCGGCAATGGCAGGTTAGTACCCGGCGGGCCAGGAGGGGTCAGTACCTACCCGACGGTCCAGGCCATTCGTCCCATGTCTTGGGAGGGAGTCGGATTTGGAATAGGGGAACCCTGAAACAGACACAGCACAGCCCCGTCACATGCGCACCCCACGGGCTGTGGGGGCACGGACAGGGCAGTCTTCCAACAGGGTCAGGCAGGGCGGGGGGTGGCAGCACGCAGGAGGCCCTCTGAGGATCCCTCCCTCCTTAGTTTTGGCCTCCTGTCCCCAGGGCGTGGACTGGGGAAGAAGCAGAGCAGCTGATGTCCCAAGCCTGCCCCTGAGACCAGGAACACACCTGGCCCCTGTGCTCACGCCATAGGGGTCCAGCATCACCTGTCCCCCAGGCTGGCCCTGACCCGACAGGGCCCAGGCTGTGCCGATCTGAGCCCGCGTCAAATGGGGCCTGGAGACAATGTTATTAAGTGTTTATGGTGGGGGTTCCCATGAAATTTCAAATTGCCTGCTTCTCTGGAAATAAAAAGGTTGATTTGAGACCCTGGGGCTTTGTCCCTCCTGTGGGGCAACACTTGCTATGCCACTGGGGACTGAGCCTGCAGGGACCCAGGAGATTGAGGGCCCCAGTTCACCTCCTCGATGCTGTTTGGTGGGGGCAGAAGGAGCTCTGTCAGGAGGACCACCTGGCTCGGGGGCAGGGGCATGTTCTGGATGGAGGGAACTTGGCAGAGCTTGCCCCATCAGGGCAGGCACCCACACCAGCAAGCGCTCTTAGGAGGCCTGTCCCTCAACTGTCTGTCCTTCCACCTCCCCATGGGCCCTGAGGGAGCAGTGCCAGAGCTGCCTGACCTGCGCATGCCCACCCCGGCAGTGGCCCAGCCTCGGGCAGTGTAGACCCACCTCCCCCACAGGATAGAGGTCAAGCTCACTCATGGAGCTACGGGCAACCTGTGAGGGCTCCGAGGGGAGGGCAGGTCACGTGTCTCAGGGTCCAGATGGCCGTGTGTGCAGGGAGGACGGAGGACCGTGGGGCCGTGCAGACCCTCCTGCCCACTCACCCGCTCTGAGCATCCTGGCCCTGTTCCTGAGCCTGTGGCCCTGCGGCTGGATGCTCACTGCACCTGGACAGTGCCCAGCACCCAGCTGCCGCCTTCAGGACTTGACACACTGTCACTCAGTGTGGGGACCCGACTGCCATCAAGGCCACTTTACGCCACCGGCGGCCCAACTAGAGAGGCCGGAGATGATCCTCCTACCACCGAATCAGACGGCCTTCAGCTTTGCTTTCACCACTGAATATGATTCAAGAAACTCAGACGCGAAGCGCCGTCTCCTGCGCGAGCCCCGTCTTCACCTCTCCCGACGCTCCCCGGGTCTAACTCCTGGCCTTGCTGGCTACGGCTGCCTGCAGGCTCGAGAACCTGTCGGCCACTCTGGAAGGTCTGCTAGGGACATGATTTCTTGGTTCTCTATCGTCTGAGAGTTCATTTCCCATTCAAACCAAGGCATGTTTCCACTGACCGCAGAATTCGCGCGGCAGCTCCTTCTCCAGCATACGAACCACGTGCCTCTCCCTCCGGGTCTCGAGGTCTCTGAGGAGCACCCACTGTCACTCGGCTGGGTGCGCTGCTACGGGTGATCATCTTTTCTCACCGGGCACTTGAAGACTTTTCTTGCCCTTGATTTTCAGAAGTTTGATCATAGTGAGTCTTAGTGTGGAGGTCGTGGCTTCCCCTTTTGGGTGTTCAGTTTCTTGAAGCTGTAGGTTTATCTCTTTTGCCAAGTTTGGTGAGTTTTCACCCAGTGTTTCTCTGAATGCTTTTTCAAGCCCGTTTTCTCCTCTGGGAATCCAGCGGCTGGCTGTGGCTCCCTCTGCCTGAAGCCCCGGGGTTCTCCTCTCTCTCTTTTGTTCAGACCAGATGATTGACGTCGCTGCTGCCAGGTCCTGAGTCTCTCCTCTGTCGGACTCAGGTGTCCTGCTCCTGAAGCCGTCAGTGGATTGTTTCTCTTGTTTATCTTACTCCTCAGTTCGATACCTTCTGTTCTATTTTTTTTAATGACTTCTATTTCTTTGGTGAGTTTTTTTTTCAGTTGTTTCAAAACTATTTATCGTTGCTTGCTGAAGCATTCTTTAAAATAGATGTCTTAAAATCCTCGTCCAATAATTCCAATGTCCGGTTCTTCTTAGTGTCACTATCTGTCAATTGTCCTATCTTGCTGCTGTGGTTAACTTAGGACTCTCAATGTGATGAGTGAATGTTTTTATTAAATCCTAGGCATTTTGGATATTATGTTAGGATACCGGACCTTATTTAAGTTTTCCATTTTAGCACCTGTCAATCTGTCCAGGTTCAGTCTGTAGAGCCTGGTCTTTTAGGGGCTATGGTTCCAATGACAACTTAGGTTTCAGAATGCCTCACAGAGCCAGTCTGTCTGCTGCCCCCACCTGGTTGGTGTGCCTGTTGCTCCTGCCCAATCCCTGCCGTTGCCCCCCACGGCGGGGGGGGGGGGGTCCGGTGTGCTACCTGGGGTTGCCTTGTGAGGGCAGGAAGGGCAGGAGACCCTGGCCATGGAGAAGGCCATACCCAGGGCCTGTTCTTCATCTGGCCTCCTCCTTGGTGTCTGTGAGTGCTGCTAGGGGAGGGGACACCTTGGTCACTGGCCCCTGGATGGGAAGGCACCTTCCTCTTCCTGTCCTGTGGTTGACTCTACCTTATTCCTGGGTCCCTTCAGTTACTGGGGACAAGGAAGGGTCCCTGTGAACTCATCAATTAATTCTGGTCTCTTTGAGAGGGACAAGTCATTGGTTGATTTCAAGGTCCCAGGGTCCATGTGTGGCCAGGGCTGAGAGCCATTCATTTGAAAAGCCTCTTCATACATCCAGCTACTTCATTCAACTCTCACTGGTCTGCACATGGAATAGGAGCCCATTTTACATATGAGGAAGCTGAGGCCCAGTGGGATTGAGGGGCCTGTACCTGGCCAAACAGCTTCTAGCTAGAGAGGGCCCTGGGCTTTGGGAACCTCGTCTGCCCCCAGGTCTGCCTGGTGGGTTTGCAGTCATGTGGTCATCTAGGGACCCGCATGTCCGCTTAAATTACCAGCCTTCAAGAGCATGTGGCCGTGTGTAGCACTCAAGAGAGAAACCCACAGGGAGAAGCAGATAGGGAGGACATGGGTGGTCAGGACCCTGGCTCACACCAGGCCTTGCAAGCCCTGGACACCCAAGTCCCGGCTTAGCCCAAACATGCCGTCTGTGCCTCCTCTCAGAGGCAGCGCGTGGCTATCCTGCCCTGGCACCCCACGGGGCTGCTTCTGGGGCCCTAAACTCCTTCTCTTGGCTCTGTCTTCTTCTACAGCAGCTTGTCAGAGGCCAGAGTAGCCATGGACATTCAGGAAAAGGCCCTTGTGGGTGGGTGGGTGTTCCAGATGCAGCAGGAGACATGTGGTCACCACAGCATCCCAGGGTGCTCTGGACAGCAGGTCACTCCCAGGCAGATGGCCCTGGGTTCACTGGCCTGAGGTGACTTTGCAGCAGGGTGGCCTGTGCCAGCATCCCCACTGCCGCCCTTGGTCTCTGAGCCACAGGGAGCTACAGGCTCTTGCCCAGTCTGAGCTTCGGGCTTTGGAAGAAGTCAGATGTCCCCCACTGGCTGCTGAAGGATTGCTGAGACCTGGCTGTGGACTGCGTGTGCCCCACCTGGCTGTCCCCTAACAGCCAGGCCAGAGGATGTCCTGTGCCTCGCCCCAGGGTCTCCCTGCCAGGAGGACAGGATCATCCTGGTTTTCACAGATGAAGGAATTTCAAACTCAGAGAAGCTTATTTTTGTACCCATGGTTACACAGCGAGTGACAAGCTGAGATTCAACCCTGGGGACCAGCACCCAAAAGCAGTGCTCTCTGCAGACCTTCGCACGGTCTCCTGGACACATGGCTCCGAATTCTTGGTGCCTCTCCTGTGCCTGCCCACCAGAAGCCTGGAGCGCTGTCCGGAGACTCTTCTCCATGGAGACTTGGGGTGACACCCCGTCACCTCCCGTGCGCTCCGTGGGTGGGTGCTGTAGTGCGGGCCCCGTCTCCCAAGGCCTGCGGGGCTCCCTGGAGCACCCTCCCTTCACAGCAGCGGTGTTTCTCCTGCAGCCAAGCTTCCCATTCGTGGGTAGGGATCTCCAGACCCCAGTTGGGGAAGACAAAGGACCTGAGTGTGTGGTGACCCTCCAAGGGCTGTACGGCGACATCTGGATGGGCACGTGCACTGCCTATGGCCCATGCGGTCCTATCCTGGGCACAGGGAGGCAGGGGGTCTGCTAAATAAAAGCAGAGTCTCCAGCTGACCCCAGCGAAGGGAGGCGGGCTGCCCCCTGGGCTCCCAAGCCCTGCCCGCGCTGTCCCAGGAGGCTCCCCTGGGGTGTCTCTGTCCCCAGACCCAGACTCCTCTCCTGGGCGGGGTCTGTCCTGACAGATGGAGCTTCCACCACTCTCCCTGGAACCCCGAGACGGGCAGGGGCCAGAGGTTACCCTGTCCACTCAGGCTGGCCGTTCCCTTGCTGACGGTGTCCACACCACGGAACCTCCACCTGCCTGCTGGACACCAGGGCAGCCGAACCCGCGCTGCCAGCTCCCCAGCCTCTCTGTCTTTCCCTGCAAAGAGTGCCATGGCTGCCCGTCCCGGCCTTCTCTCTGTGGCTGCCCATGCCGTGCTCGTCCTCTGCTCCTCCTCCTGACCCTCGTCCCCTCCCCACGATGCGCCAGGCCATTCCCACTTGCTGGCTCGCCCCTTCCCCAGCACTTGCAGAGATGGCACATGGAAGAAGCTGGCAAGGAATGAGCTGGGAGTTGGGTGGGGACGGAGAGCCCCAGCTGCGGGGCTAAGTGACCAGCTCAGGACAGACCACATGGGTGTCCCGGCACGCTGTGGCACTCTCTGCATCTCAGGTTCCAGCCCACTGGGAACTGACGGTCCTTGGCGTCTGCCTCCGGCCCAGGGCACCCCCAAGAGCCAAGCCTGTGCCCCCAACTTCTGGTCGTGTCAGGTTTCCCAAGGGACTGTGAATAAGTTGACCTTTCCCTCTGCATCTCTGAGTAAGGCAGCTCCGCCCCCCTGAGCCGAGCCACCTGGACACCCAGCTCCTCCTGGCTGTGCCTGTGCCCATACGTCCCGCTCATCTCCCTGGTCAAGGCTGCTGCTGCTCATCTGGGGCCACAGTCGCCCTCCAGCCCGCCTTCTGTGGAGCTGCCTGTCCGGCATATTGGACACTAGAGATGGACGCCCGTTTCCCGCTCACACCTGCAGTGACAGCAGCCTGCTCCCCAGCCCCCACCCGAGGCCTTCCTCGGTTCCTCACAGCTGCCTGGTGCCAGCCTCTGGCCTAGCCCCGAGCCTGGACGCTGACTACTGCCTCCTGTTACCCCCTGCCAGACACAGACCTGCTAGGACAAGTGTCAGGTCGCCTGCAAACCCTGCTCTGAACCCTCTAGAACCTTTTGACAAGGGGCTAGTGACCTGGCCACACGGCTGAGCTGGCCGTTCCACCGCCAGACCTGCTTCTGCTCTTTCCCCAGCCCTCGGGCCGTGCAGGGCTGCCCTCGCCCTCCAGAGATGGCCCCTTCCACGACACCTCCGTATCCCAGCCACACTCCCCCAGCACTGCCAGGCTCCCGGCTCACAGGGTAGCCTCGGGTTAGGCTCCAGCCCCTCTGTGACCCAGCTCCCGGGACAGGCAATCTGGCCTGTTTGGGCCTCTGCTCTGTCCTCTGGTCCCAGGACGACCTGGAACACAGACAGTGCTCATGAAGGGCCGCCCACGTCCCCTCTCTGGGCCCACTTTGCCTGCCGTAGGATGAGGAAGCCGTGCCGAGGCTCTTCCAGGTCTGGGATGTGCACATCCCACCCCACGAGGCGGCCGGAGCCCCCACCAGGAGCGGGGCCCACCTGAGATCCACGGGTGGCCCATCAGGGGTCTGTTCCTCCCAAGCACAGACTAAGTAGGAGTGTCCCCTGCAGGGAACTTGCAGGACTCTGGAGGGGAAAGTGGAGTGTCCCTCTCACCACCCCTGCTGGCCAGGAGGGAAGGCCCAGGGCCAGGGTCCTGAAGCCCCCTGGTGGCCACGGGAGGTAATGAGCAATGGCAAGCAGGCTCAATCAGACAAGGGCCTCACAGGGGCCTCACAGTGGAGGGGACACACAGGGTGGCATGGAGGCCAAAGCCACAGCAGTTCTGGGGGAATGCCCAGGCTGTGTCTCCCTGCGGGCCTCGGCCACTGTCCCCAGCCTCCAGGTCTCTAGCTCTAACCTGCCCGACCTTCCTCTCGAGGAGGCGTGGGGAAGGGGCTATGCCCTCTGGAGCGTCAGGCCCTTCAGGGATGAAGCCCTTGGGGCAGGGTGTGCAGCCAGCCAGGGTTGGTGGCCCCCTGACACCTCCAATCACTGTGTGTGTGTACATGTGTGCAGAGTGACCTCAGAGGAGTGGGCAGGACCTGAAAGGTCCAGCTCGAGGGACCTGGAGCAGGAGCAGATCAGGCCAGGCCAGGGTCCAGGACCTCGTGCTCCTGCCCGGGGCAGTGGGCCTTCCCCTGTGAAAGCCCCTTCAAGCCAGCTTCTTACAACAAAAGGGAGCCCTGGCCCTTCCTGTGCAGAACGTAGGGCCTCTACTAATACAGACTGGGGCACATGGCCAGGTGAGCCAGCACCCGCGCACTACGGAAGGACAGAGGTGGCCCACGGTAAGCCCTGTGGCACAGGGTCGCCACACTGGCTTGTCATCCACTATTGCTCTGTGCTGTCTAGCACCATGACCTGCACATAGTAGGTGCTCAATAAATCCCAGCTGGCGGGATGGATGAAGGGCTGAAATGAATCCAGTTTCGTGGCATGTCTGATGGTGTCATGGGTGAGATGAGGCTATGACCAGGCCTGTGGGCCAGGAGGCACCTGGGGGGGCGGGCGGCAGAGAGACACACCAGCACTGCTCCTGCCACCTGCCTCTCCCAGTCCCTGCACGCTGCTCTGGACCAGGGGCTGCTCTCCTCTTCTCTGTCTCCCCCTCGGCGCCCTGCTCAGCGTCTGGCACAGAGTGGGTGCTCAATAAATACCCGTTGAATTTAATGCATCTCAATTCAACCAACATTTATTGAGCGCCCACTGTGTTGAGTGTCACACTCCTGCCTTCCTTGGCGCACGACAGATGGGCATCCTGAGGTGCAGGCGGGTGGGCCCTGCCGTGTGCCATTGCTCTGCTCTGATGGATCCGCCTTGGTGAGAGCCACAAAATGCCCAAAGAGAAAGTGGGCGCTGCTCCCCTTCCCACCCCAGCTGCTCTCCCGCCCCAGACCTGCCCGGCTTGGTCTGCGCACGCTGGGAAGGGAGGCAACATCCTCGGGACAGAGGCGCAGGCGCAGTCATAATGCAGGACACGGTGGGTCTCCGCACAGGCCGCTGTCGGGAGTCCAGCAGGAGCGAAAGGCCGCTCACAGTGGTGACCGCAGCACACGGCAAGGGCAGCAAGGCCGGGGCTCATGCGGGGCTCACGCTGTGGAGGGGCCTCCCGCTTAAACCATGGCCCCACACTGGAGCTGGTGCCCCCAGGTCGGGTGCACCTGCGTGGAAGCCATTGCTGTCCCAGCTGTGGCCACAAGTGCAGCTTGAGGTGGGGACACAACAGCAGAGCTGACAGATGGGACTTGGGGTCCAAATGGCGAAGTAAGACACCTGCCACAGCCTGGCCTCGCGGGGACCAGCACCCGCCGGGCTCCTGTGCCTCCGTGGCCCCGGGAGCCCTTGTTCTGGCATTTGCAAGTGAGGAAGGGGTGCAGCCTGCGTGCAGGCGCCACGGCAGGGCCGCGGCAGGGGGGGCCCACAGGACCCCGTCTCCAGCTCGGCGTTTTCCCCTCATGGAGCCACCTCCTTCCTGGGTCCTGGACACAGGAAGGCCACACACTTCAGAGGGAGCTGCTGAGGCCACAGGTGCCCCTGCGCCCCGTGAGTCTGGGGGAGGTCACGGGCAGGGGACCAGGAGGATGGCAGTGGCCTCCTGCACTAGCAGGGACGCGGCCAGGAGCTGGGAGGTCCCCAACCCTGATTCCTGGTTCCAGGGCTCAGGCCTTGATGCCAGGCCACACCCGAGGCTGGAGGGTGGCCCTCCACCTCCAAACACAGCCCAGGACAGAGCACTGTCACCAGGCATGGCTCTGGGCCACACCACCCGGGCAGCGGCCCCTGGGGGTGCAGGGAGAACTGGAGGACTGGTGGGCAGCTACCTGCAGGGGGCACAGGCAGGGAAGGAGGGACCAGCGCCCTGGCCTGCCACGTCCCTGCAAGACCCCCAGGAGTCCCTCCCTGCTGGAGATGTCTTGGTGCCGTCCCATGCTGACGTCAGCCTTGTGCCCCTGCTGAGACCCCACTAGGAGAGGGCTGCACCCCAGGAGGGATGGGTGCCCTGGGGGGTCCAGACACCTAATCACAGAGATCCCGCACGGAGCAGAAGCTCTCTCCCTCCTGGGGATTCTCTGACGCACCAGCAGTTCCAGGCGTCTGCACGGCCTGGCCGCCCTGCACCAGGGCGCTTTCCTGAGGATGGCGCACTTCATACCAAAGGCGAGGGTGAGGATGAGGTGAGGGTGGTGACCAGGATGATGCCGCTGTTTACTGAGCACCGACTACCCGCCAGACAGGGCGCTGCCTGAGCACCCAGTTCACCTTCCCCAAGACCCACGAGGCAGTGGGCGGAGCTTGTCCACACCACAGTTGTCCACCCTGGGGCTGGGTTTGCGCGAAGGTCCGTCTCACTGTGAAGCCTGGCCTTCCTCTGCCTTTCACACCCACGTCCCCTGACCCAGCCTCCTCATCCAACCTCGGCCCTAGCTTCCCCACTGAAACCCCTTCCCGGCTTAGAGGCTGCTGACCGCGGCCCACTGCAGGATTTCACCTGTGGTCTCAACACACTGCAGCGAGCACGACTGGGACAATTTGAAATTTGAACATTTGAAGATCACTCCTGATTCAGTCTTTGTGACACCCCAGAGTCCAGCAAATGACAGCTTTGTCTGCTGTGAAGTCTGAGGCTCTAATGCCTGGGACTCTCCAGTGCCTTGCTCAGGGTGCCACAGGGACAGGACAGTGCCCCATCACCAGCTGGATCTGGCCCCGCCTCCTGGACCATGCCCACACCTGCTCTGGAGGGAGTGGCCCCGGGAGCTTCTTGGTGACCTCACCTGGAAGTCACCTGGCTCTCTACCGCCGCCCAGCTCTGGGTGTCAGCAGGAGACATCACTGTGGCCCGGCACAGCCAGCTATGTCCTCACAGAGCCGCCCGCTGTCCTGTGGGGTGACCCTACCGTTGCTCCTACGCCTTCACCAAGCTGCGGCCCCTGTGCTGGGGCCTCCCATGCACACCACCGCCCGGGCTCGGCAGGGCCACTCACGTGGAGAAAAGCTGTCTCCTGGCCCTCTCTGTAGAGGGCCTTGCTCTGTCCCACTGCTGTGGGACAGAGACTGGATGTCCAGGTCTGGAGAGTTCGTCCTTGTGTCCGAGTCCCCCTTGAGGAGGAGCCAGCTGGTCTTCTGCAAAAACAAAGAAGTCATGTGAACTTTGAGGTCATCTGCCATGGGTGCATCTCACCGGACCTTCCAGGGGCTTCTTTCTTACTTCTAACCAGCGAGCTGACCCACTGCAGGAAGCTACTGTGCGAGATCAGCTTTAAGTACATGGCCACCATTCAGGGTGAGTTGTCCACCTGTTCCACGGGAAAGTGGGGCTGCCCATCTTACAGACAAGAGCACTGAGGCTTGGGGTCAGTACCCCAGGGGCTCTAGCCAGCAGCTGAGGCTGCCCAAGTCCAGCCTGGGCTCCTTCCCTGAACTCCTTCTCTTCCCTAAAGACAAGTGGGCAGGGAGGGGCCCAGCCCTGGGCCAAGTCCTGCCCGCAGTCACTCTTGTGATTAAAGTGTGCGACCTCCCAGGAGGAAGACGTCCACTCACTGGCCCTGAGTGGAAGATGCCAAAAACCCACTCTAGAACCATCATCCCGTGGTCCCAGATGCACTGGCAGCGTCCTCAGCTACAGCAGGTGACTGGAGACCCAGCCGGGCCGCCTCAGTGCGAGGGGGGCTGGCGCACATGCCTCCCACCTCTGTCCTTTGGGGACTCTAAGGAACAGGGCAAGAGGAGGAGCCTGGGGTTCAGCTGGAGGGGCCACCACGGGGCTTCAGGGGAGGTCCGGTCCTCGTTACCTTCCTGTTATCCTGGTCGAAGCTCCCGTCCTCCCCGTCCACTCGCCGCGCGGCTGGAAGGGAAAGTGAACCGGTGACGGCCGCCGCCATTGGCCTCCTGCCTCAGTCATGCTCGAACCCAAGACGGCCGAGGAGGGTCAAGAGCAGGGTGCCCTGGAGGACGGGGCCGGGCAGGCTGGAGCAGCTCCGGGGAGGGCTGCCCGCGAGGGGGCAGGGGCCTCGGAAGCGTTGTCATTCCCCTTCCCCACGTGGAGCAAGGAACGGCACTGCCAGAGGCGCCGCTTGGCCTTTGAAGAACACCTTCTACCTCTCAGGGGACACCAGAGGAGCGGGCCTCAGTCAGGGACCCTCGGTGTCACCTCCAGCTAGATGCCTCACTTCTCACGGCCTGTCCCTGCCAACCCTGAAGGAAGGGGCGTCGCCACTTCACAGACAGGGAGACAAGCCTCAGGGAGACGCCACGGCCCAGCGCAGGGACTAGCGGGGCGGAGGCTGACCGGAGCCCAGGGAGCCGGGGTCCAAGCCTGCCCCTGCCTGCCTGGCTCCCTCCTGCTGCCCGCAGCCACGACAGCGAGTAAGCAGCGCCCCGGAGGGCGCCATGGAGAACGTACAGGAGGAGACCCCAGGGGAGGGCTGGGGCTCAGCGGCAGAGCGCTCCCTAGCCCGGGCGAGGCCTGGGGTCGAGCCTCAGCACCATAGAGACAATGAAATAAAGGTTGTGTCCAATAAAAATAAACAAATAAATATTTAAAAAAAAAGAAAAGAGAATCCAGCCAGAAACAAGCTCAATGTCACAGAGCAAGCAGGAGCTCATTGTGCCACAATCTGTTCACAAGAATACTGGCTGACGTTTCCAACCAGGTTGAGCTGAGAGACCACACAAGGGCATGCTGACACCTCCCGGCATCCAGGCCGCATCCAGAGACCTTCCGGAACCCCAGACTAACACACCACCCCATGCACAGAGAAATGAAATGGAAACCCGGCTCCTTCCCAGCCGGCCTCGGCGCTGGGCCGGGCCTGAGCAAGGCCGCGCGGAGCTGGGCGCTTACCTGCAGCCTGTGGCGGGCTGGGACCTGTCAGCCTTTGGGAGCAGCCTGCCTCCTGCACCACCAAGGACAAGACTGACACCAGGCCAGAGAGCTTGGAAATTGGGGATTGGGCTACAGGACCTTGACAAGACAAGGCCGAGAGTGAAGTCTGAGCACGTCCACTTCTGGACGCACAGACACCCTTGCTCTCCATGGCAACCTTTCTCCCTCCACGGAGACAGCCACTTTCAAAGCGAAAATAAAGCCCCTGTCCTCTCCGCTCCCGCTCCCAGAGGCGAGCAGCAGGGCCTTCGAGGAGGTTGTGATGGAGAGACAGCGGGCAGGGAGCCCAAGCCTGACAGTGTGGCGCTACTGTTGCCTTGACAACAGCCACACTGGGCAGTGGTGCCCTTGAGTGTGGCAGACATCAGCCCACACTTGGGAGCTGCCCAGCCAGCTGCAAGGACGAGCAGGCTGGGTGTCACCGGGGTGACTGGGAGCCCTGGAAGCACACCACTGCCCACACTGGAGAGAGCCCGGCCCTGCGTGCCAGCAAAAATGCCAATCCTGTTCCTGAGAGCCAAGAGGCCACTCCACCCTTGGAATGTCTGCAAGGGCAAAAGGCAATTAAGGGGCTCTTTGAGGGCTTGGGGGCCCTGGCTGGGAGGACTTCTCAGTCCTGGACAATGGGTCAGCCAGACATGTCCTATAGAACTGCCTCTGGGCTCCAGAACAGACCCACCATTTGCAGAAAGAGATGTTCTGCCCAGACTCAGCAAATTCCCTCTGCAAATGCCACCAGCTGCCCAGGTGTGCACAGTCTACCAGGCTGGGGCCAACGCTGCTCAGAGTGAAGTTCACCAGCCCGCAAAGCATACCATGGGCTCGCTGAAGAGCTAGGAGCCTGGACAGGAAATCATAGGAAACTGGCACTTTGCTCTATTGGTGGCTTGCTTGCTCCTTTACCAGCTCTGAACCTCAGTTTCCAGATCTGAAAAATGGGTGAATGATGCTTACACCTCCAGGCCAGGAGGAAGACACTCCCATGAACACCACCCATGGAGCGCTAGCCTGCAGGCTTAGAGACCCCAGCAGCAGGAGGGGTTGGAGACCATGCGAGGCCAATTTGTGGCACGCTGTGTGGGCTGCCAGGAAAACACAGACCTTCTCAGGACAAGCAGAAAAAGTTTAGTGTGTCTTTTGTGTACAGTTGGGGGTCCTTCTGAGCCCTAGAAGGCATTTCCACTCCCATGTCCCTGGGGACTCTCTGCTAGAGGTGCTTCCCGGACCCCGAGCAGGCTGGCCTTGCCACCCTGCCATACCCTTCTCCACCCCATTCGCATCTGGACATCCCTTGGGCGTGTCCACATCCCTCTGTACTCACCTATTCCTGTCTATCCACGTGTTCAGCTGCCCTTAACTTCCCACCCCCCATCTGTCCACCCACCCGCCACATAACCTGCTGCTCACCCCCATGGCCAGCCACGTATCCACCCGACTGTCGGCTGCTACCCCTGTGTCCACTGAATCCACTCCTTTGCCCACTGACGTGTCCACTGAGCCAAGTTGTCCTTTATCCCCGTTCTGCCCTCTGTTGCCCTCTGCTGCCCTCTGTCTGCCCTCAGCCTTCCTCTCCCTTCTCCAAGTGCCCAGTGTCCTGAGTGCGGGACGCAGAACACCCAGACACGACCTTTGTCCTCCAGAAGCTCGTGGCCAGGGTGCGAGATGGACAGGGCATTAGAAGGTCTCAAGACGCTATAGTGAGGGCTTTGATGAGGGCAGAGTCAGCATAAAGGTGCTCCCAAAGAGCATGCATGTATGAGCACTTACTGAATACCTACTCCTGGGTCAGGCCCTGTACCCTGGTCTGGTTAGACGTGTGTTAACAGGTAATAGCGCATGTGCGGCCCTCACCCAGGCGCGGAGGCCGAGGTGCAGAGTGAGGCAGAGCTGGTCACCCGAGCTCACACGTGTGTTCTCCCCGGCAGATACATGAATCATGGGACTCAGGGCCATGTCACCCCAGCTTTGCTTGTCATGACTTGTATACAAATCCTCCTCCCCCAGGTGGCTCCTGGGAGAGGCCTGGTGGCCCCTTGGGGGCTTCATGAGGTGACATGTGCACAGGGCTTACAGAGGAAGCCAGGAGGTGGGTGCAGCACAGGGGCCACTGCTTCCAGGGGACCCTCCGTGGTGCAGGGCCTGTTCCAGAGTAGGTATTCAGTAAGTGCTCACACGTGCATGCCTCTTGGCTGCCAGCATTGGCAGCTCCGACCTCCAAGGCTCTTTTGCTAGAGGGAAAGTGGGGCTGGGGGCCAGTCTGGCCCCTGTTCTAGGGGCCTTGAGCTCTGGCCGTGCTCTGCCTGCAAATCATCACTCCAGCACCTGCCAGGGCTGAGGCAGGACAGGCTTGGGGGTGGGTCCAGGCTGGGTCCAGAGGTACTCGCCCCCACAGGGGAAGGAGCTGACAGGACAATCCATCTTGCCCTCTCCCCTGGCCTGGGGCTATAGGGGGTGGGGAATCTGCTCCTCCCTTTAGCTCCTGGGCTCTAGGAATAGACCCACCACTCATCTGATTCCCCCGTGAGGTTTCCAGCTCTGCGACTCAAATGGAATTGGGATGAGAGAGAGAGAGAGAGAGAGAGAGAGAGAGAGAGAGAGAGAGAGAGAATGCACATAGGTGGCCAAGTCCATTAGAATCCCAGTTCCATGAGGGCAGATGCCACAGAGGGTCACCCATGTGTCCCCAGGGCTGGGACAGAGCCTAGCACAAAATGCATGCTTGAAAAACTTTCGTGGATAAATTGGTGCAAGTCATTCAAGTCCCTCAGACCAGCTGCCTCAACTGCAAGCCAGGAGGACAGCAGCTCACGGGCTGCCATCAGGACTGACAGTGGCACTGAGGACGAGGACAGCGGCCCTGGCGTCTCTAGCCTCCTCCCTCCCTCCCTCCCTCCACCTTTTGATGACCACTCTGTGTTACCTGCACTAGAGGAGAGCAGAGGTGCCCCCTGTGCCCCCAGGTACAGGGTGGTTCCTCCGGGCCCTGCCCTGCCTCCACCCAGCAGCCTCTGGGGAACGTGGCTGCCCACTTCCAGCCCGGGGAGCCTGGGCCAGGGGCTTCCTGACGCCCACAGCAGGTTTCCATTGCTCTTCCGGAACACTGAGCATGCCTGGCCACCTGCCCTTTCCTCATATCCCAAGAAAGGACCCCAAAACCAGAGCGAGAGTCACCCCATGAGAGGATACAGAGGGACAGAGGCGGTTAATTCCTGTTTTCAACCAGGATCCAAGGAAAGAGTGAGCAGCCCCGCCACACCAGTGACCTGTGCAGATGGGAGGTGTCCCCAAGAGCTCACGTGCGAGGCCATGCAAGAAGGTTCAGAGAGACGACTGGCTTACGGGGGCCTTGGCCCAGTCAGTGGGTCAGTCTTCTGATGGGGATTACTGGGTGAGAACTGCAGGCCGGTGGGATGTGGCTGGAGGAGGGGGCATTGGGGCACGGCTTTGGGGTACCTACTTGTATCTGGCAAGTGGAGTCCCTCTCTGCTTCTTGATCATCACGTGGGCTGCTGCCCTCCACCACACTCTCCCACCATGATGTCCTGCCCACCTCCAGCCCAGAGGAGTGGAGCCTGCTGTCTATGGATGGTGACCTCTGAAACTGGGCCGCCAAATAACCTTTTCCTCCTCTAAAGTTGTCATCGTCAGGTCTTTTAGTCACAGCAGTGAAAAGGCTGACGAACCCCATGGGCCACTCCCTCTGTCCTGCTGGGTGGAGGCTGAGGACAGGCAGGAGGACGAGCGTCCTGGTGGCCCAGCAGCTGCGGGAGGGAGCAGCCCCTGCCTCGCAGGCCGCAGCCGCTCACCCCGTCCGTCCGTCCGTCTGTGCTCACGCGAACTTGGAAGTCGAACAGCAAGTCTGGTGAACTATCAGGGCCTGCGCCGGGGGAGAGCTTCCCGGGGAGTTTCAGGGGAAGCTCAAACAATCTAAAATGGCCACAGTGTCCCTCCAGTTCTACCACTGAAACTCCCTACTATGTGCCAAGCACCAGGGTCACCTTCTGGAAACCCCCTCAAAGCCCACACAGGATGTGGTCCGAACCCCCAGAGGAGGATCCGGACCTGGGGGGTGGCACATCTGCTCCCAGTGGTGTGGTGGAGCCGAGGGCCCCGGCCCATCCAAGTCTGTCCCCTAAAGCAACCGGGCTCAGTGCTGTGAATGACCCCCACTGGCGCACGACAACACATAGAAAGCCACAGGGCACCTGAGCCTTGGAACTTCCAGGAGCATCAGGCCCAGCACCTGCTGCTTCCTGCAGCTTCCTGCTGGGGGCGCCAGAGGACCTGCCTGGCATCCACCCCTGGGCCAGGGGGGCTCCGAAGTTCCTTTTGCCTCTCCAACTACCTACTTAACCTCCCCCCTTCCCTCCCTCCCTCCCTCCCTCATTTAAATAGTAAATGATAACCAAGAAGGGTTGGAGCTAATGTAGAAAAGTTGTCAGGCCGTAAAGGCCTGTAGCAGGTCCTAGCGCGGGGGCCAGGCAGAGCGGGGATGTAAAGCCAGGAGCCGTGACCGGTCACTTCCCCGCCTGTACTGACCCTGTCACAGGAGGCGAGCAGCTGCCAGGTCCCACCCTCACTTCACACCCGCTGCGCAGGCAGACACTGATCGGCCCTGTTCTCACCACCTAGGGCCAGCCCAGGCCCAGAGGCCTGGCCACCCTGGAGGCCTGTTTCCCAGAAGTAGGAATGGGCCTCGGGCAGCAGAAGAGAGTAAACAAAGGACTTCAGTTACACCGCGCGGCCACCCCTAGGCACCTGTGATCCCTGCCACCCTGAATGATTATAATGCACGATTTAAAAAGTAAGAAAGGCTTTCAGAGTTTGGTACAGTTAGAAAGTAAACGCATCAGTGAAAATGCTGGGTTTTTAAAACTTGTTGAACACATCCACGGAAGCCAACTCAACGGCCCGGCAGTTCCCCACCTGCTGCTGCGGCTCAAGCCTGAATGCCCTCCCCCTCTCCCCTCTGCAGCCTGCAGGAGGTTACCCAGAGGAAGCAGGAGGCTGCGTGGGCCTCTCACACACATGTGCACATGCTCATGCACACACCCCTGTGCTCACACAAGCATCTGAGTGTGGGCATGGGCACACACACACAGAGTTACTTCCAATGGGGTGACCCTGCCTGGGTGGGAAGTCATGTAAACAGCCCTGTCAGAGGCACTGCTGGGATCTGCAAGGCCCAGCATGTCATGACCTAGGGTCACCTCTGGAAACCGGTCAGAGAGTCTCTACAGGTGCCCGACCAGGAGGACAGGTGGCTGCTTGTGCCGAGCTGGGGACAGACTTGGCTCACATTCAGCTCTGGACCTCGGCCAAATGCTCAGTGGCGAGCAGGGGCTTCACGCCGTCTGCTTTCCCACAGAACCACGGAACGGCATTCTAGAATGATGGAAGGGCTGGGTGACACTCAGGGTTGTCAGGTAGGAATCCCCTGCCTGTGGAGAGGAGAGTCCTTTACATTCAGAGTTAAAGGACGCAGAGGTGGCCCTGGGACAGCAATTGGACCCACTGGAGGGTTCAGTGAAAGGACCCAACAGTGGACTTGGCTCTCCAGACGCTGGCGAGTGGTCAGGCCAGCAGGTTTCCCATCTCTGCCCCTTGTCAGGACCAGCCCTCCTGATGGCTGTGTTACCACACCCTGAGGTGCCACCTGAGGCAGAGCAGGGGGTGACAGCAAGCCCTGCCAGCCTCAGTCTCAGGTTCCCAGGAGCACCGACCTTCCTCGCAGGCTCTCTAGCCTGGCACTGGGACGGTCACTTTCTGGGATGCTCCTTTCTCTGGCTGGGCCTCAGTTTCCCCTGAAGCAGGAGGGAGCTGGTCTGGGCACTCTGCAAGGGCCCCAGCATCTAGCCTGTCCCCTCTGGTCCCTCTCGGAGCCTGACGCTCTCAGCTCCGCTGGTGGGACTCAGCGCACTCGGGAAACTCTGACCGCTCGTTCATTGCTTTTCCTTCTTGGGAATAGGAAGGTGGCACAAGGCGCAGGGTCTTCTTCCACCCCAGAAAGAAGGCACAAACGACGCCTCCCTGCTCACACAACTAGACCACTGACCCTCCAGCCAGCCACAGAGAGCATGCAGGACCCCCAAGGCCTCCACCCGATTATCCACAGGAGGTGGCAGTATTCCTTGGGTGCATCTAGACAGGAACTTCCAACACGGGATGGAATCCCTCTTCCCATCTCTGGAGGACTGGTGACAATCCCGTGTGCCCTGCATGCTACAGTGGAGGGTGTGTCTCCAGTCGTGGTTCCTGAGGTCCTCCCAGCCAGCCTGGGCAGAGGGCAGGGAAGGGGCAGTCTTGCTTTGCACATGGGGAAACAGAGGCTCAGGATCAGAAAGCAACATGCCCGCCAAACCCAGAAATTCCAGTTCTGATTCCTGCTCCATGAACCTGGTAATCTGCCCTGTGCACATCTGTCCCAGGTAGGCTGTGGAAAGGGGCGTCAGAGGGCCAAGAGATGCCCTCACAACAAAACTTCCCAAGCCGTGTTTGCTAAGGCAAGGACCCCTTTTACCTGGGAGCAGGGCACTTCACTCCATTGTCAGATAGTCTCAAACAACAAGACCAGATTTCTCCACGGGAATACGTGTCTGATTCCAGATTGTACGGTTTCTCAAGGATCAGGCTGGGTCACATCACAGATGGGGAAGCCTCTGTTCCTGGCCAGGTGGGCCGGGATCGCTCTGGCTGCTTCCCTCACAAAAGCATGATCAAACCCCACCCGGGCCCGTCTGCGTGCAGTACCTGGGGTTCATTCACAGGGTCCTCACTCAGAAGGACCCCACTGTCACGTAGGAAGAAAGGCCTCTGGGGCCTCCTAGGGAATTTGCCCTTAAAATTCAGACAGCCAGGGGCCTCCAAGCCGTCCCCACAGTGACCAGGGCTCAGCAAAGGGTGCATTCAGAAGCAAGGGGTGCCAGGCATGCAGGGCAGGGCCCACGAGCAGACTCCACCGTACCATGCTGCTTGTAGATAGGGGGTTTCCTATAGATGTTATCTTTTACGCCAGTGTCTGGGACAGGAGACAAAAGGAGAGAACAGGAGGGTGAGCGGCCGTCGCCAGGGTGTCCGCCCGCTGCTTTCTGTCGGCCACTCTCATCACCCCGCTTTAGAACTGCCAGCAGGTCCAGCACCCCACACCCCAAAACAAGCACCCCCACTGCGGATGCCACCCCAATCTGAGGGGACAGGGAAAGAGGTGGCTAGGAATGGGCAGCCAGCAAGAGGCCGGGCCTGGTGCAGCTCAGAAAGACCCTTTTCTCCAGCCTGTTCCCAGAAAGCTGCAGGCGGTCCCCCGAGTCCGTGGCACTTGGGGAGAAGCTCACATGAAGGGCAGTTTGGGGATGTGCCAAGACCCTGGTGATTTTTAGGGAAGCTTGGAGTTTGGAGCCGGGGTGAGGTGTGGCGGTCCGTGCGGCACCTGCCCTGGCCGCCAGGTGTGAGCGGACGTGCACGCGGAGCCGGCGGCGAGCCGGGCCTACCTGGGACGTGGAAGTGGCGCGGGGCCTGCTGGTAGGTGGAGGAAGGAGGCCTGCTGTCCGAGAGCACCGAGAGGCTGGGGGTGCTGCGGCCACTTTCACTGCCTCCAGACGGGAGCACAGGGACAGCAGATGGGGACGGAAAAGCAGAGCATCTCAAGCAAAATGGCTAGTGCAGAAGCCCCGTCTTCCCTGCAGCGGACACCCCACACCCTCTGCCCAGAGGAGGACTGTGGTCCTGGGGACTTTCCAGACTAGGCCCAATGACTTGTTAATCCAACCTGCGTTGAACCCTGCCAGTGGTCCCTGAGAGGCACAGTGACCTGAGGGCTGACAGCTGGTCGGTGCATGGCAGATTCTGGGGTGCACACCCAGCTGCTCCGTGCACCCGGCAGCCTGCGACTCACCAGCCCCAAGGCCTGCCTTCCTGATCATCCTGTACACACAGGGCTGCATCTCCAGGAGCCTACAAATCAGCTGCATGGATCAGACTAAGGCACTGGAATGAGCCCGGGAGTCCTCAAAGTCACTGAGTGCAATTTTGCAAGATACAGAAAAAGAGAAGACCAGAATCAATCAATTTCCATCTTCCTAAATACATACATATTTATATATATATATATATATATTTTTTTTTTTTTCCAAACTAAGTGGAAAGTACCTTCTGAGCCTGCTCCGGTTCCTTACCTCATCTAGAATCAGAATTTCTGCCTTGGGAAGGAGGTTGGATTATCAAGTCACCAAGCAAGACAGCAGAGTTCCCTGGGAGAACGCCCCATACCCCACAGCTGTGTCAGAAATGGGGTGACAGATAGAGTGGGCGGGCACTGGACACTTGGCGAGGAGGACTGTGGCTCATAGCAAGACACCTCACTAACCTTGGGGACCCGCAGGACATTAGATGATAAGCTTGACAGGGGAAAGGGACAGTCTGGACTTGAGACCCTCTCCACTGTGTGTTGGTCCAAGTGACCCTGCAGTGAAACGGTACCCACAGAAGTGGGGCTAAGCCGGCCTGACTGGGGACCTGCCGGGGACTGTAGCAGCTGGACAGATGCTGGCTCTGGAGGAGCTGGGCCTGGAAGCGGGTCGGGTGCAGCGGCGGGGCATGCAGGGGCAGAGGGCTCAGCTCGGGCTGACCCCCACCGTGGCCCACACCAGGCTGAGGCCACAAAGGGGCAGGCAACTCCAATCTGGAGCACTTTGTCCCACCTGGGTGTGACGCTGACTTCACCTGCTGACACTGACGGGACTTCAGATGCCTGCTTTGCTGTAACTACCTCCCTTCCAACAGCACAGACCCCCTGGGCTTCCCCAAGTCTGCCGGCTCCGGCCACTCCAGGTGGCCGCAGGGCCTTCACACCATGGGGGTGGGACCAATGAGCAACAAGAGGAAACCCCGGACCTCTTCTCCCCACGGTGACTGACTAGATCCCCCCAAGGGCAGCCACACAGGACAGAAGCACGGCCTTTAAAAAAACGCATCCGTGCCAACTGCAGGGGGCTGGGACATTCGCGTCAGGCGCCATCGCTAGGCTGAGCTGGCCCTTGTCTAGAATGCTCCTTCTCCACCACTTAGGATCTAACATGTCAAAGGCTCCCTGTCCCTCCCCGGGGCTCAGCCTATTATGCAGGGGCCCTGGAAACTGTACACCAGACTGGGGCGCCAGTGTGCCCGTGTGCCTGTGCACCTCAGGACAGATATACCCAGGGCCCCAAGACCATGGGGAAGCTGAGGCACAGCTGTGGTGGCCCCAGTGACCCACCAGGCCTGCTGCACACCTGCCCTCAGGGGCCTCTAGCATTGGTCACTGAATTTGTCCACCTAGGGTTGTGTCTGAGATGCCACCACCAAGTCCTCCAGGCCTCCCCAGCCCTGGCCTCTGCACGGCTCCTCCTGGTGCACTTGCTGAGTGCAGCTCCAGCCTTCAGGAGGGTGGCCCAGGGTGCAGGGCCCCTTCTCTGCACAGGCGCCACTTGTCCCCAGGTGGTTTCCTCTCTCAAACGCACCACTGCCATGGGCCCTGTGGTGCCACCAGGAGCGCTCTGCTGCGTTTTCCCTCAGCATGCCTGCCCCAGCCTGGGTCTAGCCATCGCTCAGTGGCCAGCTCCTCCTTGAGCTTTACTGGTAAAGTCCCCAGGCAGGGGCTCAGGGCTCCTCCTGCAGGGGGTCACGTCCTGGGGAACTTCTGTCCCGGGTGAGCCTATTCGTGGGTGGGCAGCCCCTGGCCATGGGCCCCTTCCTCTTCTTCCAGTTTAAACTCATGCTTGATTTGAGGACAGTTTCAGGTAGTCACACCTTCCCAGGCACGTGCTCCGGCTGGTGCCCCCTGACCTTGGCTCACGGCATCATCTAAATGCCACGCCATGTGGATTTTGCCTGGTGTCCTCTCTCCGTCCCAGGAGGACACATTACATTAGCTGGCACGTCTCCCATGCTCCTCCGGCCGGGCCAGTCTTGCGGATTCCCTGCTGGTGATGACTGGTCCCGGGAAGTGCTGGCAGGCCTTTCTGGAAAGTTCCTCAGCTGGATCTTTTTGCTCCTTTCCCAGGACACACGGGGCTCGTGTCGGGGAGGCAGACCACGGGGGTGGGGGGGTGGGGAGCTGCCCTTCCTCGGGCAGCCAGGCAAATGCTGTCAACAGGGTCTCCTGTCCAGGCCACGGCCTGGCTGGCGGGCGCCACAAGGTTCCTCCACAGCAGAGCTGCTCTCTTTGTCCCCCCTCCTAAACTGCCTCTCTGGAGAGAAGACCCAGGTGAAGGCCCTGGCCACACCGGGTGGAGAGGTGCCAGCTCCCGAGAGAGCCCCGCCCACGCTGCTCGGCACCCTCTGAACGGCGGATCTGTCTTCTCCCTGTTGATTTGTCCTCAGTCCTTTCTTGTCTCAGTGGGGACTCGTGGACATTCACGGCGTGTGGGGTTTACAATGTGACAGCTTCATTCCGTTGCTCCAGCCGTGCCAACTTGGAGCTCTCTGGCCTGCTCTTGTCCAACTTTCTCAAGGTGGTACCAAAGCAAGTCCAGCTCATGGCCAAGTTCAAGTGCTGTCAGGACCAAGCCCCTCCCACCTCAGTCACGGACCACCCCCCCAGAGGGCCCCACTTCAGAGCAGAGGGAGGGGACAGTGGGCGAGGTGAAGAGCTACCTAGGGCACAGTGAGTGGGGGCAGCAGCCTTGGGCTGACTCCACATCCGAGCCGCCCCCTCCCTTCCTTCTCACACCACACGGTTAGGAGAAGGCTCACTAGTCAGCAAGTGGCTGTCCCGACACTGGGCCTCGGCAGCACAGAGTCCCCTGGGCACCCCACACCTGTCCTGCTGCTTGGCTCTTAACAGGCAAAGAGGTCAAGTTTAAACCCACCTACCCCAGGGACACACCGGGACTGAACTTCTCGCTTCAGTGCCAATGCTGCCCCCAGCTCCTCTGCTGAATGTGGGTCTTGGTGGGAGGGCGTCCCTGGGCACTGAGCCTCAGCGGGAAGGTGTGGCTGGGCTGGGTGGGAAGAGGAGAGGCACACGCAGGGCCCCTGCCAGCAGCCACCAGGCTGGGAAAGCACCAGCAAGCTGGGGTGGGGGTGCGGCTGCCTGGGAGCCCTCCACCCATGGTGTCGCCCAGCAGGAAAGCTCTGCTGAGCAGAGGCCAAGGTGCCCCAGGAGAGAACCTCGCGGGGCCCTCCTAGGGAAGGGCAGACGCCGGGCCTGTGTCTGAGTGAGAGGTGGACAACTGAGTGCCCAGAGGCTGGGATATGCTGCAGCCCATGAGCTGGGAGATGACAGGCTCCCTCTAGTGTGGCCTTGGAGTGGACCTGGGGTGGACATGACTTGTGAGTACGTGTCGGGTTGAAGCCTAAATTTGGGCTCTGATTTGGGATCTCGAACCAGGAAGTCCCCTGAGCCTTGGCCTCCTCCAGAGCAGGTTCTGCAAAGACCTGGGGCCCCCAAGGTCACAGATGGCCATGGAGTCAGGCACAGGGTGAAACTGTGGGCATCAGGCTCCCTGCATCTGACACCAGAGAGGGGGGCAGGAGCTTCCTCTGGTTTCTGAGCAAAGGGTGTGGCAGCTAAAGTGGCCAGGAAGCAACAGGGCGGAGACTGCACTCCAGTAACAAAGCGCCACTCAGAGCACCCCCAGGGTTGGGGCCTCCGAGCCTCGGGGAGTCCGAGCACCCCAGGCTCTGAACCACGTTTCAGTGGGCAGGTGGGTGGGGCCTGAACCCAGTCTCTTCTTTGCAGGGGTGGAGGAGGGCTGGCTGCCTTCCACCCTGCCTCCTTCCCTCGCCCCCTCCCCTGGGCTGCGAATGGGGTGCTGCCCGCTGGCCGGACTGGAGCAGGAACACTGCAGCCCGAAGGCCTGCCCTGACTGGGGTCCCCTCCCCGTCTTTCTTCATCGCAGAGTGATAGGAGTCCAGGGTGGAGACGCAGATGTGGGTGGAGGAGGCTCACCAGGGTTAGCTCTGGCTCTAGGCCCTCCAAGGAGCTGCTTATGGTGGCTGCCTGGGGGTCAGGGGAGAGTGGCAGGGACAGTGAATGTCCACTGCCTGCCCTCGCTCTGGCACACCCTGCGGGGGACCTCACGGGTGCATGGCTCCACCCACAGCAAGGCCCTGGCAGATGAGAGGACAGCTCAAGATCCAGGGCCTCGTGGTGCGAGAGAGGTCCGAGAAGTGGCCTGGAGGCGGGCTGTGAGCCCCGGCTGCTCAGCTCCCTCGGACAGGACAGCGAGCACACATGCGGCAGGGCCTCTGGGGCTGGCCCCTGCTGCGGAGCCTGCTTCGGGCTTTGAGTCTCCTCCCAGCTGTCAACACTGCCCAGGAGCTGCAGGGGTGGCCCACCAGGGGGGAGGGAGGTGTGACCACCAGGCTCCTCTACTGGACCAGCTGGTGAACCCTGGGATGAAGCACGGGAGGGCCATGGCCCAGCCCCTGACTGTCACAGGATCCAGCTGCCTCTGGAGGAGTCCCCAGAGATGTCCGACTCCACAGCCGTGAGGGATAGTGCACTTGGTGTGTCACTCGGGGAACCAGCCAGGTCTCTATCGTGGGTCCTCCACTGGCCCGAGTGTCTTTCCGTGGCGTCTGTCAGCTGGCTCTGTAACAGGACAGCTCAGGCTGGGCCTGCGACGGCAGGTGCACATTTTCTCGTAGTTGTGGAGGCTGGAGGTCACGGTGCAGGTGGGCAGGGTGTGTCCTCTAAGGCCCTCTTCCTGGCTTGTCCATGGCTGCGTCTGGCTCATGTGGCTCACGGGGCCCCCTCTGAATGTGCAGAGACAAGTGCAGGGCCATGTCCTCTCCTTACAGCCTCCAGCCTGGTGGATCAGCACCCCTCCTGGGGACCTCATCTAACTGACCTGATGCACCTCATCAAAAGCCCTCTCTCCAGTCACATGGGGGGTGTTAGGACTTTAACATGTGAATTTGGGGGACACAGTTAAGCCCTCAGCGTAGAGGCGAGCAGGAGGTTGGCCATGTCTGGGTTTTTTTGTGTGTGTGCTCATGTCCCTGCAGGGACATGGGGTGTGTGGGTCTGCACCCTGGGAAGAGCCAGGGTTGGGGCTGCGTGGTGCACCTCCTGGCTGGGAGGCCAAGGCCACCCTGCTCTACAGCTGAGCTTCTGCTCCTAAACCAACACTCGCGAACCTGGGCCCGTGGGCTGCTGTGGGAGGTGAGAGGATCTGACCTAAGCACAGAGTGGCCCCGGCCCTCCACCTGTGCCTTCGCCTCACCAGCTACCAGCCTTTCCCTGCCAGGAACACGTGCACACCAACAGAAACGGAGCCGGACACAGGACACACACAGCGAGGGACATGGGGCAGGAGACACAGGGCTCCGGGAAGCCATGCGGCCGACACAGGACGAGCACCCACAGCACTGCGCGCCTTACCTCGGAAGTAGGGGACGTAATGATGTCTGAACACGGAGGTGGGGCTGGGGTGTTGGGACAGGGAGAGGCAGCTACTGGTACCCACACTCGCAGTACCAGCTGCGGGTGACAGAGAGCAAGGCGTCAGCCCTGGCCATCCAGCCATGAACCGTCCTAGTCCCCAAGGGCCTAGGAACAGTTGTGCCTCCCCTCTCCAGGAAGGCACCGGGAGACCCTCCAAGGGCTGCCCCATGAAGAACATGCAGCAGCCTAAGGCTTTGGCCCAGAGCCTCAGGCTGGGGCTCCAGGGGAGCACAGGCCCCTGAGCCATGCCTGTCACTCCACCTGGGGGTCTCCTTGGGATCACGGACCCAGTTGGAGGGCAGCTCCAAAGGCCAGGAGTGGTCTCTCACCACATCCTCAGGCCTCACGCAGGGTCCAAGCCTTAGCCCTCTGGGCCTTAGCCTTGGGCCACCTGTCAACAAGCCCAGGCTCCCCATGATGTGGTGAGTGGTCCAGTCAGCAAAGAGATCACCCACTGACCCCCCGACTGCCCACCCACTCGTTCCCACATGCATCTGCTCCCCCCTCACTCACCCACTCACTCATCCACTCACTCATCCACTCACTTACCACCCACTTACCCACTCACTCATCCACCCACCCACTCACTCACCCACCCACTCACTCACCCACCCACTCACTCACTCACTCACCCACCCACTCACTCACTCACTCACTCACTCACCCACCCACTCACTCACCCACCCACTCACTCACTCACCCACCCACTCACTCACCCACTCACTCACCCACTCACTCACTCACTCACTTACCCACTCACTCACCCACCCACTCACTCACTCACCCACTCACTCACCCACCCACCCACTCATTCATTCATTCCTCACTCACTCATTCACTTACTCATTCATTTACTCACTCATTCATTCATTCACTCACTCACTCATTCATTCACTCACCCACTCATTCATTCATTCCTCACTCACTCATTCCTCACTCACTCACTCACTCAGGCACTCATTCATTCACTCACTCACTCACCCACTCACTCACCCACCCACTCACTCACTCACCCACCCACTCACTCACCCACCCACTCACTCACTCACCCACCCACCCACTCACCCACTCATTCATTCATTCACTCACTCACCCACTCACTCACCCACTCATTCATTCATTCACTCACTCACTCACTCACCCACTCACTCACTCACTCACCCACTCACTCACTCACCCACTCACTCACTCACCCACCCACCCACTCACCCACTCATTCATTCATTCACTCACTCACCCACTCACTCACTCACTCACCCACCCACCCACCCACTCATTCATTCATTCACTCACTCACCCACTCACTCACTCACTCACCCACTCACTCACTCACCCACCCACCCACTCCCCCACTCATTCATTCATTCACTCACTCACCCACTCACTCACCCACTCACTCACTCACTCACCCACTCACTCACTCACTCACTCACCCACTCACTCACCCACCCACTCATTCATTCATTCACTCACCCACTCACTCACTCATTCACTCACCCACTCACTCACCCACCCACCCACTCATTCATTCATTCCTCACTCACTCACTCATTCACTTACTCACTCATTCACTTACTCATTCATTCACTTACTCATTCATTCACTCACTCATTCATTCATTCCTCACTCACTCACTCACCCACTCACTCACCCACCACTCATTCATTCATTCACTCACCCACCCACTCACTCACCCACCCACTAACTCACCCACCATTCATTCATTCATTCACTCACCCACCCACTCACTCACTCACTCACTCACCCACCCATTCATTCATTCACTCACCCACTCACTCACTCACTCACCCACTCACTCACCCACCCACTCACTCACCCACCACTCATTTATTCATTCACTCACCCACTCACTCACTCACCCACCCACTCACTCACTCATTCATTCATTCACTCACCCACTCACTCACTCATTCACTCACCCACTCACTCACCCACCCACCCACTCATTCATTCATTCACTCACCCACCCACCCACTCACTCACCCACCCACTCACTCACCCACTCACTCACTCACTCACCCACTCACTCACCCACCACTCATTCATTCATTCACTCACCCACTCACCCACCCACTCACTCATTCATTCATTCACTCACCCACTCACCCACCCACTCACTCATTCATTCATTCACTCACCCACTCACTCACTCACTCACTCACCCACCCACTCATTCATTCATTCACTCACCCACTCACTCACTCATTCACTCACCCACTCACTCACCCACCCACCCACTCATTCATTCCTCACTCACTCACTCATTCACTTACTCATTCATTTACTCACTCACTCACTCATTCATTCATTCCTCACTCACTCACTCACTCAGGCACTCATTCATTCACTCACTCACTCACTCACTCTCTCATCCCCTCTCTTCACACTTATTGGGCACACTTATTGGCACATTGCAAAGAGCCAATGAAAGTGACTTTGCAAATGAATGACTGGATTTTTCCACCAGGTTTGCTCACATCAGCGCTGTCGTCACAGAGGTGGAAATGGGGTCATGCACAGTTGACCAAGGAAACAGCCTGGAAAGATCCCTCAGAGAGGCAGCGTCCCTGTGCACCCCTGGGCTTGGACACTCCGGGGGCCAAGGAGTCTTAAAGCTGAGGTAGAGCAACGCACAGCTGGGTGCAGGCTGGGACGAGGTGACATGGGTGGAGGGGACCCTCCGCGGGGCTCTGCCCTGACCTCATGCCAACTTTCCCACGAGGATGGCTTTCCCTGCAGTGACTAACCGAGAACAGGGGACATGCTATGCGTATTCCGACTCTTTCTCTGGCCACTGATTTTCCTCCACACTCAAGTTTCACAGCCATCCCTGCCCTTGTGTTCTCCTGCCTTCCTGTGACATGTGCGCTCAGCCACCGCTTCCCGCTGTGTGCTTCCTGGGCGATGCCGTGACCAACAGGTACCTGACTGCCTCCCCCCAGACGGGAGCAGGCTCTCTGTATACCACTAACTCCACCGGCCACCCATGGACAGTCCCACTCTCGGCCATGTTCCTAGCTGCGTAAGAGCCCACTTTGTAACCTCAAAAGCAACCACAAGGACAGTTTTGTTGGGGGCTATGAGCCAGGGGACCGAGTACCTGGACGGCTGTAGTGCTGGGGTGACCGTGAGGTCGGGGTGTAGCGCCCAAGGCTGACAGAGCCGGTGGAGCTGGGGCTGGAGGTCCGGCACTGCTTGTAGGACCGGTCATCTTGGTCCCCCTGGGAGGGAAGACACAGCTCGTGAATCCCTGAGGTGAGAGCACACCCCCCTCACCCACCCCCACCCCCACCCCCTCGGCATTCGCCCCCCCGGCCCCAGGGGCTGACTCAACATGACCCCAACATGAAATCTCCCTGCCAGGCCCGTCTGAAGAGCCAGGTTCAGCCTGGCCCTGATGCTGACAGGCCCCTGGCCTAAGCATGGTCCCTGTCCCATCAGGCACCGCGGCCTCCCCTCTCTAGGTGCCTCCTGTGGGCTGGGGCTCCAGCACCCTCCACTCCCCCCAGCCCTCCCAGCACCTGGGGCTCCTTGAAACAGAGCTTGAGAACCATCTAGAGCCTCTAGTGCCAAAGGGGACTCCTCGTGTGCAGTTCAGGGAGAGGAGGTGCCCCTGTGGGCCTAGGCCCAGCTGAGGGGGACCACAGGCACTGATATCTGGCCTGTCCAAGCAGGAGGACTGCTGGGAGCAGTCAGTGGGCAGTGGAGGCATGGGATGGCACGGCCCCATGGCGAGGGGAGCAGCCTGCCCTAACCCCTGCAGCGTGGCCCCGTGGCCTGGATCATGCCAGCCCACCCAGAACCCTGACGAGGGCTGACCGCTGTTCCACCCCTCGCAGCACCACCAGGATGAGCGGGGGCTGGTCTGGCGCTCATGGCTGCCCGGCCTGCCTGAGCTCACCGTGGCCTTCAGGGTTTCCCTCCCTGCCGCCTGAGGCCACATTCCTGCCTGCACACCCTGTCCCTCTCATGGGCTCCTTCTCCTGCCCGGCTGGAGCCCCTGCCACCTCTGGCATCCTCTGCCAGGCCCAGCCACCAGCTGTGCACCTCAGGCTGTCCTGTCTCCTGGCCACTGTGGGTTGGGGAGCTTAGTGTGAGCTGGCCTCTGGCCTGCTGGGTTGCTGCAAGCCTGGACCCAGGGGTTTGAGGTCTGATGCCCACCTGCAGCCCATTCCGAGGCAAGGTGACCTGCCATCTGCAGCAGCAGGGTAACATGGCTGCCCTTTGCCCCCAGTGCTGTTTCTAAGGGCAGACTAAGGAGCCAGGTGGAGGGACCGGACAGGGACTAGACAGAAGATTCTGGCTCCCCAGAACTACAAGGAAGGAGGGGAAGGATGGGGTCCAGTGAGATAAGGAGATTCCATCTCCTGGGAACCCTGCTGAGGATGAGCGGGCAGGAGGAAGGTGGTCCCAGTGAGGGCGCCCAAGGCCCCAGGGCCGTAGTGACCACCAGAAGCCTGTGGGCTGTGTAGCCTCCCGTTGACCAAATGTGTGCTTGTGTCTGGGGGCACCTTCTGGGGGGCTTTGCCATGAGGCTGGGCTCGTTCTAGAGCGTGCTGTCCAGCGGGCCTTGACCTCCTCCGTGGGAGGAGCCGACGTCCCTCTCGGGGTTTCCCTGTGTGGGTAACGAGGCAGTGCAAGGATGGCCAGCTGGGCCTGTCAGAGGTCACCCGTCAGAGGTCACCAGTGCTTTAGTGACTTATGGAGCACGCATGATGACAGTGGCTGGTGGACAGCTCCTAGGGGCCGGTGAGGAGATGAGGACTGGAGCCCAGTGGACGGCACACGCTCTGCACCGCCAGCTCTTGCTGTCCCTTGCTCATGGGTCCTGTGATACCCCACCTGCCCCTCCCTGCGCCGCAGTGCAAGCTGCAGCCTGGTGGGCTACAGTCCACCTCACTGACCGATTTCTGAGAAACAGGAATGTCCCAGACGGCTAAGGAGAAAGGTTTTTGCTACAGAGATGTTTTCAGAGTGCTCCCTGCAGGGCCAGGAGATCCCGTGCACCCTGATTGGGCATGAAGTGAACCTGAACTAACCCAGAGAGCCATGACCCAGACCACAACCCGCTCAGGTGCTGCCGTGTCCAGGCGTCCATGAGGGCGGGGCTGGCAGGCGCAGGAAAGCATGCAGACGAGGCGTGATTATAAAAATAACCAACACTGAGTCAGGTGCCCGAGCCCTGGGGGCTGAGGCCCAGGCTCTGCAGCCAGGAGCCCCGAGGCCCTCCCAGGGCGCCGTGGCTGGTTATCTTTATAACAGGTGGGCAGCAGCACCATAGCAAACAGGGCACAGGCAGGAGGGTGGTTACCTCAGTCGGCGTTGGCGAGAGCAACTGAGGAGACTGTGGACACAACAGAGTGACCTGTCAGCACTGTGACACTAGGCACTACTTTGGGGGTGAAGGGGTGGTTTGGGGACCAGCAGGCAACAGTGGGTCAAGGTGTACCCAGACGTGAGCCTGCACACGGGAATGAACCCACCCCAGGAGACGCAGAATGGACTGCAGGACTCTTGGAGAAATGGGGTCCAGGGCACTCAGAGAAAGGGGCTCCCAGGCTTGGAGCCTGGCTTGGCCACTCGCCATGCCCCACCGCTCTCGAGACACACGTCTTCCCATAACGGAAGCCTGCAGGCTCAGGACACCTGCCACACTCTGTGTGCACATCACCAGGTTTTCTCTGGAAGGAGGGGAAGGGGGCTAGGGGAAAGAGGGTGATGGGAACCTAGGGCTGGGGCACGGGCAGGGGGTACAGGCTGGACCCCCCTGCCTCACCCTTCCTGGGGTCTCTCAGTAACAGTGAGGCTTGTCACCACACTCTCAGGCTCTCGTGGTCAGCAGGGGCACCTGCTATCCCTGAGTCATCTCTCTCCTGCTTGGCCCCCAAAGCCCCGCAGCTGTGCCCGGCAGCTGTGACCTGAGCAGGTGCCTGGTCACATCAGGCCCAGGTTGGACTTCCCTGCACCCACCTGCTGTGCACGGTGCCCTGGGGCTCAGCCCTCATTTTCCTCATTTTGAGAAGTCACAGAATGAGGAGGACCAAAGGAATCATGCTTGAAAGGCCCCGGTGTCCCTGCCCTGTGAGCACCTGTGCCTGGCTACACTCAGGCTCCACGCTCAGGCCTGTGGCCCAGCGCCTCGGCCACAGGGACACCGAGATCTCAGGGCCACAGAAAGAGCAGCGAGAACCTCCAATGAACCCAGGTCAGATGGAGAAGGGCGGCCTCATTTAGAAGTCACCACGTAACAGAGGACGCTCCAGCAACACTGCGAAGTAATTCGTGGTCACCAGGGGGTGGAACTGGCTCGGGAGTCACCAAGGAGAGCAGGAGCGTGCTGGCTGGTGGGGCTGGGTGCGGCCGGGAAGTCCTGGCCAGGAAAACTGCATTTCCTGCTTCATGACAATACTCCAGCACTCAGGAGGAGCCAGGTTCTCACCCAGGTTCTATCCCTTCCCAACGGCAGCCTGTTCTGCTGCCTGCTCCTGCTCCTGCTGCCTACTGCCTGCTCCTTTAACGAGGCCCTTGCAGGCCCTTCAGTGAGGGGTGCTTAGAGCCAGAGCACTGGGCACTAGTGAGTGAGGTGTGGCAGGTCACCCGAGGGCCTGGGGAGCCCGCAGAGCGGAGGACACTGGCGGGATCCTGTCAGAACGCCCCCGTGAGGGAGGCTCCTGCCCACGGGCCACGCGGAGGCCGTACCTCGCTGCGGCTCTGCCTGTCGCCCGCGCAGTGGCTGACGTAGGGCGAGTAGGAGATCATGTCTGGGCGGTCGATGTTGTAGATGGCCTTGCTTTTGGGAAGCGCGGCCAAGTCCCTGTAGTCAAGGATCTCGTCTCCAAGCTTCGCCTGAGGGAGGACAGAGCAGAGGCAGGAAGTGACCCGTGTCCCAGGTCCCAGGCGGCAGCCGCCCCAAGCCCAGAGCCGGGACACTGCCCAGGGGCAGGAGACTCAGCTGGGACAGCCTGCCCCGTGCCAGCCTCCAGAGGGCCCTGCGGTCCCGAGCACGCTCTCTCCAACTGCGTCAACAGAGGGCTCCCAGGCGGAGAGGTCGAGACCCATGAGCCCGGCACAGGCCTGCCAGACGGTGAGATGCAGGACAGGCACACACACATGTGCTCAGACTCACGTATGCACACAGGAGCCAGTGCACGTCTATGCTCACGGAGGATGTGCAGTCTGACTGCAGAGGGACATGTCCCTACACAGCACCTCTCCACATGGTAGTGCACACTCATGCACACCCACAATCAGACACCCACAGGCCCACACACTCACTCCTGCACTCACAGCACACACCTGCATATTGGCACACCTACTTGCACACACGGACCCCCTAGAAACTTGCATGCACACACACGATCACCCTCACACCCACCCAGTGAGTACACAGACACACACACACTGGTGCATGCACCTTGGCACGCGTGAGCCCCGGCATCTGATGGGTTGGCCCTGGCCCTCATGCACCTGCCCACAGAAGGTGCTCACGGGCGCTTGCCGACCCAGCCTGTGGTGCTGCAGGGTTGCTCTCAGAGTGCCCGCCTGGCCGCCTGCCACCTGGTCCACTCTGCCCGCCTGCTCCCACTCCGCCCTGTGCTGGCACACTAGCTCCAACGCCCACCCGCCCACTGCCTGGCCCTGGCCCTGGCTCTGGCCCTGGGTGGTCCTTGGGCTGCCCGGGGCACTTTCCAGCCCCAGGTGCTCTGATCTGGACCCTGCTGGCCCACAGCAGCCTGCTCAAGGCCTCTCCTGCAGGGTCTGCACGAAGACACCCTCAGTAGCAGCAGCAGGTGACACACAGGCTGGACCTGAGACAACTGCCACCTTTTACTGTGAACTCACAAAATATTACAGCAGGTCTGTGACAGGAACTCTCACAGTAACTCCTTATGACAGATGAGGAGCCCAGAGAGGTTGGACAACTTGTTCAGAGTCACACAGCAGGGGCAGCATGGTGCTGTCCGACCCGAGAGTCTATGCTTTCTGCTGATGTGCTCCCCTGTCCTGTCCTGCCGCAGGGGAGTCTCCCTAGCTCACCCCATACTCCTGCAGCTCAAACCCAGGCAGCCCTTCCTCAGGGGGCACTGTGAGTCCCACAGGAGCCCCTGAATGAGGGCTTCCTGCCCCCAGCCTGCTTGCCCACAGCCTCTCCCCACGCCCACGGTGTGCTGTGGCCAGACCCCCCCTGCACCATCTCTAGAGCCAGCAGCACTGGCTGGCCTCCTGCAGCAAGCCCACCCTGACAACAGGCAGACCCAGGCTCTGCCAGGACTCCGGGCCTTCGGGCCGACCTGCTCTTTGCATGGCCCAGGGCGAGAAGGAAGCCTGATGTCTCGACTCTGGCTGGTCCTTCTGGAGCCCAGGACAGGGCAGGAGACCCCAGGTCCAACCCCGAGCCGTCCACGTGCAGTCATGGTGGTCAGCCTGCCGGCATTTTCCAGGCATTCCTCTGCCTTTGGGGGCAGTAGGGAACCAGAGCCCAGGACTCGGGGTGTGGCCCTCCTGCCTGCTCAGCCTGGCCCCCTGCTCCCCGTCACACCCGCCACCCTGACCCCTGCAGTTCCCCATCACTAGTCCATTCCTCATCGGGGACTTGCTCTTGCTGACCCCTTCCCCTGCCTGGCCTCCCGCCTCTCAGGCTCCAGAGGGCCTCCTCGGGGTCCTTCCCATCTAGGAGCTGTTTTATTTTCTTCCTGTCGGGAAGGGACTGGTCTTCATCTGTGACCCAGACAACACTAGAGGGTCCCCGGACCCCATTTAATCCCTCATTGAGCCCCTGCCCCTAACTCCAAGCTTGTCATGGCCAAGTGCTCAGGACACCCTGGACAAAATGAATTAAAGTCACTGCAGCGTTTGCTAAAGTCGGCAGAGCTCTGTGGGTCTCGTCTCCTGCAGAGGGGATGCCTAATGGGTTGGTACGTCGCTGGACCGCAGTGGGCCTCAGCGGTCATGGCTCCAGTAAGATGCCTCAGACCTGAGTTTCTCAGGTCATTAAGAGGCCATGCCCCCCACACTCACCTCCCTCAGTTACCTGTCCTCTGGGCTTTTCCTGAGTAGCCACAGGGCCTGGGTCTGGGAGGCACCTGGCCCCAGGCTAGTCCCCTCCATCCTCAGGCCTCCTGTCCCTGGCAGTGGGCCCAGGGCTGGCGGGCTGCTGGATGTGGATGGCCCAGTGGCCGCCCGTCCACAAACTCAGACAGCCGTGGGGTGGCCCTGTAGCCCCACGGCCTCCTGTGCCCAGGCTCCCAGGCTTGCTCCTCCCTGGGAAGGCCACTGGGCAGGTGGACAGTGCTTTTTCTCAGCTTTCTTCTCCCCTATACTCCATCTAGCCAAGAAGCCATGCTACGACCCTGTGTGATCCCACCGTCACCACGAGCTCCTGCCACCGCAGCACAGGCCACTTGGTGCCAGAAGAGGGCACACACTGCTCGTGTGACTCCAGTGTTGACAAATCACACCAGAGGGAAGAGGCCCTCGGGGAGCTGTGCACAGCCTCGCCCTGCGTTCCCGAGGGGCGGCCACGGCACGCACTCCCGCCTCGTGCTGACCCCAGACATGAGTGATGGGTAGATGTGCATTACTTGTGTAATAGAGGAGGCAGTGGACAGATCATTGTGAGAGTCCCCGTGCTGTGCGCAGGTCTGGTCCCCGATGTGAAGGTAAATGAGGCCCCACCTGCTGCCCCAAGTGCAGGTCTACAGGAGACGGCACAGCACCCCAGGAATTTTGCCACATGGATGTGATGGGGGACCATCTCCGCCTGCCTGGGGCGATCAGAGGAGACAGTGTTTGATGACCAGCATCCTGGCTGGCAGGAGCTGGCACTGGTGTCCTGTGCCAGCCTGAGTGGCCATGGAATGAGCTCACCCTCCTGGGGCCAGGCGTGTGTCCTGCACCCAGCCAGGGTGGGTACCCCAGCAGGGAAGGAAAGACAAGCCGGGCCCCACTCGGAGCCAAGAGGGCTTGTTCCAGCCTGCCATGTCCCAGGAAGGAGTTCGAGCACAGGGATTGCCCGCTGCCTGATTTGGGAGACAGACTAGGGCGTTCTGGCCTGTGGGCCTCCTGGGCTCTGGGAGCTCCTGGGCAGTGGTGTCCTTGCTCAGATGCTGTGTGAGAGGCCGGGCACCTGTGAGTCTGCAGCTCTCTGAGCCACCCCCGGGGTGCAGGCCAGGCGCCTGCCTAGTCAGTGGGCTCTGAGGCTGAAAGAAGGCTGCGGGGCAGGGCGTCCTGGGGCCTGGCTGCCCACTGTTCATGGCCAGTGCTTGCTCACGGTGTCAACCTAAGAACTGGTAGTTTAGATCTGGGTGCTGGATACCATCGCATCTGACACTGAAGCAGGCGCACCTATCTGTCCAGCAGGAGGCTCCACCGAGTTCAGACACAACGTGGACACTCTGGCCAGGGAGTCCTCACCCACCAGAGTCCTGCACCTTTCCTTGGCCCCCATCCCACCTGAAGCCAAGTACTCAGTGGACTGGAAGTCCGTGGAGGACACGGTCACAGCCTAGCCCCATCCCAGCTGGGTTCCCTGGGCCGTGGGGTCTTGGAGCTTGGCTGTGCTAGCGACTACCTGGTGAGAGAAGAAAGGACCGCGATGGTGGTTTCAGCACGGAGCAGCGGAGTCCCTGGAGACAGCCCAGACATCGGATCAGGGAGTCTGGGTCTGAAGCCCAGCTCTGTGTGGCCTTGAAAGCGGTGTTGGGACATTGGAGGCTACTGTCACCACTCTCTGCATGGTTATGTGGTCACTACATAACCTAAGCCCCTTGCAAGGGCCGTTATTTAAGCACACATTTAGTGAGCAGATACTACGCGCCAGGCCCTTTGTGCCATCTGGGGAGCACCTTCCAGGTGCCAGGCCCTGCAAGGCACTTTGCAAACATCGTCCAATGTACATCCTCAGTCCTGACGAGTAGCATTACTCATGACGATGATGGTGGCACTGAGGGCTGAATCCCTATGGTGCAGTCCCAGCTCCCAGGACTCTGAATGCCACTGTTTGGGAACAGGGCCTTACAGCGGTACTTAAGGTGGAGTGAGGTCTGTGCGGTGGCCCTAATCCAGTATGCCTGGTGTCCTTGTTAGCAGAGGCCATCAGGACACAGACAGGCACAGGGATGACCCCATGAGGGGGAAGAAGGCACTGTCCACCAGCCCAGGAAAAAGGCCTCGGGAGGAACGAGGCCTGCCCGCACTTTGGACTTCAGCCTCCAGAGCTGTGAGATATTCCGCCTCCTCGTCCAAACACTCAGCCCCATTTCCTTGTCATGGCAGCGGAGCAAGCTGGCGGAGACTCCTAACAACGCTGGCAGTGAGCACTTCCTACGTCCTCCTTCTGGGCCAGGATCTATGCCCAGAGCCTCCTGTGAGATACCTCAGTGAGCCCTGGACAGTGGGGGCAGAGTCTCCTCATCCTACAGATGACCGCCAGAGGCTCAGAGAGGAGACTGGTTCACTGAGGTCACACAGCAGGTTTGATGACCGCACACTAAGTCTCAGAGGAGATGTCCCCAAAGGACCATGGTGTCATCACCCTTCAGGCCAGTGACAGGCCATAGTCACCCAAGGAAAAGAGTGTTCATCATCATCACCCTTAAGAACCACAGCAGGAGAAAATCTGTGTCCCACCACTGCAGAGAGGAAGGGAGGGGAGAATGCAAAGAGCAAACCGGACCCTCCACGCTGCAGGACCGAGGTCCTGGCCTGGCCGGCAGGGGCACTGCAGAAGTGACTGGTCCCATGTCACCTGCCATCTGGGTAAGGGCAGCATAAGGGGCTGGACTCCTTCCCCTGATAAGCCATCCCCCGTGTGGCACCTTGGGGCTCTCTCAGGGACAAGTTTTGCTGCGTGACAACTGGAAGTCAACCTCTCGCTCACAGGTTTCACTTTTGCCCCTCCCCACATGCCGCCTGGCACACCCTGACGCCATCCATGGGGCTGGTTTACACCATCGTGGGTGACATCACTCTGCCTTCTGGTCACCAGAGAGCTGGGGTACGATCCGGGGGACTCGACCCCAGGAGATCTGCATGAGTGAGTGCCCAGGAGAGGAGCCGGAACACGGGCCTCCCCGCCACCCCGGGGCGACCGCACCCAGGCCCCACTTACGTAGATGACGCGGCTGGGAGACCCTGAGGTGCTGGAGGCGGGCACGGAGACGATGCTCTCCAAGGAAGTCCTGGTGTCCTGGGGAGAGAGCGGCGCAGGCTGAGCAGGGTCCCAGCTGCACTTGGGCGGCCACCGCTCTGCAGCAGCGCCGCCCACCAGGCTTCTAGTTTCTGCCTCCCCTGGCCGGAGGGTCCTCACCAGCACACAGGCTTGGACGAGCGACGGGAGGGCCACGGCCAGACAACACGGCAGGCCACACGGGGACAGGCAAAGCGGCCCACGGCCTGGTGGCTAGCAGCGCTCCAGGGCTGCCCCGCACAGAGCCTCCCCCGTGGAGAGGGCGAGCTGTGCCCTACCCTCTGCCCATGTCAGGGCGTCCTCTTTCACCCACTGTCCACTGTGCAGAGAGGTCGTCCTGCCTGGGCAGGGTCGGCGTGTGGCCTCTCAAGATGCCTCCTGATGTCCTGGCAGCCTCCATCATTGGCAGTGCTCTCTAGCTGACCCCGTACCCCTGGCCACCACCAGGGACAGCTGCTCCTAACCCTCAGTGTCTTGGGCTGGTCCTCCCCAAAGTGGGCCAAGCACCTTGCCACCAAGCCCTCGTGTCTGGGCTCCAACTGCTGGGTGCCTGAGACCTGCGCCGCCTCCCCTGGTGGCACCGGGCCCCTCCTCCCACCCGCTGCTGCCCAGGGCTGAAGTCTACTTCCTCCTGTGCCTCTCTGGCTGTAGCTGGCATCTGTCCCACCCCCGGGGCCACCTCCCGCCTGGCTTCCCCCGCCTCCTCCTCACCCCACCCGGCAGGAACTCATCTCCCTCCAGGGCTTCCCCCTCGGAGCCAGGAGCCTGGGCTCCCTCTCCCTGCAGCTGGGTCCTGCACTGAGGCTCCCAGGGGCCTGCTACTCTTCCTGCCTCCTGGTACTAACGGGTCTGTTCCTGACCCTCCCTGATGGTCTGTCCAGTCCTGTGCCCATCTGCCTGCAGTGCCCTGTGTTAGGGACTGAATTGGGTTCCCCCCCAAGTCTCCATGTTGTGGCTCTAGCCCTGACGGCCTCTGAGGGTGGCTATGTGGAGACACAGTCTTTCAGAGGGACTTCAGGTGAGGGTCACAGGGTGACCCTCATTCCAGTCTGCCTGGCGTCCTCAGGAGAAGAGATCACGACACAGATGCACACAGAGGAAGACATGTGAGGACACGGGGGTGCTGTCCACTGCCCAGGAGAGAGGAGCCCGCCCCGCCCCACCCTGACCTCAGATGCAGCCTCAGAGCTGCAGGACGGGGGCTCCCCGTGGTCCAGCGCCCAGCGCAGGGCCCTAATAGGGAGCCCTGGGAGTGCGCAGGGCGAACCCCAGACCCCGGCACAGCTCCTGCCCTCAGCACGACACCAGCAAGGACAGGTGGACACCAGGACCGGGCACAGCCACACACGGCAGCGCAGGCACAAACCTGCAGGGCACGGGGCGCGGTGCCCGGGCGGGCCTGGCTGCAGATAGGGCTCTGCATCTAGAGGGAGAGAGGAGGGCAGGCATGAGGCTCAGGCGCAGCGCCCACCGCGTCCCCTTGGCGTGCTCCTCAGCCACCTGTGAGGACCATGAGAGGCCCTCCTGGAGCTCTGCCCTCTCCTGCTGCACACCTGGGACTCAGGGCCTGCCTGAGCCTCAGACCACAGGCTTCTGGGTGGCAGCCGGGGGTCACCTCCCAGAGCTCAGGTGGCCCAAGACCTCGGCCACTCCAGCACCTCAAAAGACCCCTCTGCTGCTCGCCGGTAAGGCGGCCCCACTTCCAGACCATAACTCAGGCTGCTCTTCCCGCTGCCCCTGTGGTGGGGCTGGGTCCTGTACTGGCCCCAAATGTCTGCATCAATTTCTTGCTTTGGAAACACCTTCGAGTCAGCTTCTCTACAGAACGGAGAACCCCCAGCAGGGGGCTTCCCACCTCTGAGGCTTAGCTCCTGGGAGTCATGAGTTGAGGTGTAGCTGGACCTCACTGCTCCCTGCAGGCTGGGCTCAAGAGGAGGCCCCAACAGGAGCTCTTCCTTGACCACAGACTGGCACAAGGTAGGAGGCATCCCTGCCCCGCTCAGCAAGCCCTGCAGGACCAGGTGCAGACGTCACTCCAGCCTGAGCATGGGTTGCGGCCTGTGACCCCTCTCTGCACCCAGCTCCCTACTCTGCACAGTGGGCAGAGGGCAGCGGGCAGGTCCTGCTTCACGGTCAGCCAGGGCACTTAGGTGTGGAGTGAGGCTACTGTCCCCAGAGTGAGAAGGCAGAGCCATTCTGATTTCCCCTCCCCACTCCAATCTGCCCTGTGGAACTTCACAGTGAGATTCAGCATCGTGCATTCTCCAGGGCCAAGTGACAGCACCTCGTTCAGACCCAGAGAGGTGGACAGGCCTGGAGCTCGCCAGCTCCAAGACTTGGGGATGCAGCCGTCCCACGGCTGTGACTGGAGAGTCTCAGTAAGGACACGCAGGAATCTCGGGGCCGAGGCGCCGGGCGAGCTCACTGTGGAAAAGGCTGCGTCTCGGCACCCGGGCTTCCTCCACGGCTCTTGCTGACCTGCCTTCTGGGGGACCTTCTTGCTCAAGCCCGTCTGCCTTGCTCAGTGGCCCCCAGTCCCTGACCATCTCCCAGGCTTCCACCCACAGTGAGCAGTTCAGAGCCCACACCAGAGACACGGCTGGGGTTTCCGGAGGAGAAGAGGAGGTGCCACACGGTGGTCATGGCCGGTGGGGCCAGCCTGGCTGGCCAGGTCCTCCTCTGAAGTCACCAGCCCTGACCAGAGCTGGAGCTGTCTAGGCAGAGCCTCCCGGTGGCTCACACTGACGGGCCACTCAGCTCGAGCTTCTCCGTGAGCTCAGGGGCCCAGCCCTGCCATGGCCCCTCGCCTTCCTCGGTCCCTGCATGGCACCTGCTGCTCCGAATCAGGACCCAGAGCCCAGGACTGGCTGAGCATCGAGGCTCGGCCCCAGGAAGCCAGCTCTGTCTCCTGCCCAGCTGAGTTGGGCTCTTCTGAACCGCAGAGCAGCCGGTCTCACGTTGTCCCCACACTGGACATGGGGCCCCCAAGGACAGGGAGCCCAGGCGTCTTAGCATTCCTGGGCTCCAGGCAACCAAAACCCACGCAGAGGATACTTGGGGCTATGTGTTGATGATCACATGACCAAATGCCCAGGGAGACCCCGGGACAGGGTCATCAGGACCACACCTCCTGAAGTCTGCCGAGCACCCTGGGCAGAGCCCACACACATCTCCCCTCTTCTCCGGGGCCCCAGCCTCATGGTGGTGAGGGGCAGCCAGGCAGTCGGGTCCTTGAAGGGTCCAGGCTCGGGCCTATTTCCTGGACAGGGTGGAGCCAGCTCCTCTGGGGGTCCTGGGGCCGTCCAAGACTGGTGGCAGGGGCACTGTTACAGAGACAGCTAAGTCACTCACCCCCTGACAGGCGAGTACTCCTCATCTGGATTCCTGGTAACACGGGAGCCACTCCACCTCAGTAGCAGACGTCGGGGGCTCCTGATGCAGATGCCCTCCTCGGGCTGCGGCCCAGCCACCAGGGGAGGTGAGCGGCAGAGGACGGCAATCCCGCCCCAGGCCAGGCAGCCATTGTGCCCAGGAGAACTGGCCCGTAGGGGACCTGAGCTGTGCCTGGCCCTGGCACCACAGTAAGGGAAGCTCTGCTGGGTGCCCACTCGCCCCACAGCTGGCTGCAGGCAGCAGCCTCATCCACGAAACTGGCCAGAAGCTCTTCAGACAGGGCCAGGGAGCCGCCCCACCTGCACAGGCCGGGAGGACAAGGACCCCTTGGGCAGCATCCATCCCTTCAGGGGGCCTCCCCCTGACTGGTCGGAGCCCAGAGGTCAGCAGAGCTGCCCTTGATGCTGAGGCTGCTACTGCTGCCAGCCCCGCCCTGCAGCCCGGGCCACTCTGCAGCTGCACAGGACACTCCACCCTGTCCTTGGGGGCTGGCCGTGGTTGGGGGACCTCCCTTTCTAGCTGGGGTCATTCGTAGGAGACAGGATATCCCCCCACCCACATGTAGGAGCATGGCTGGGGCCTCCACCAGGTCCCTTCAGCTGGCCCTGGCAGGGGTCCCACACACAAGTGGTCAGCACCCTGTGGCCAGGTCAGGGATGCCCAGGAAGGCACAGGTGATTACTGATGAACGAGCCACTGAGAGGACGACGGGGTCTCCGTGGGGAGTGCCCACTGCCTCCAGGCTACGGAGGCCCAATGGGCTCGGACACCACCCCAGGAGGCCGAGGATGGGGACCCATCCGCAGAGCTCCTCCAGAGGACAGCTACTGAGGAGGGACCCGGACCCCAGGGAGCTGCCCCACTGCGCCTCCTCCCGAGACCTGTGCCCACCCATCCAACCTGATTCCTCACGGCCACTGCTACTCTGGCTCTTGGTGGCCCACTGGACATCCCATAGGCTTCTCTCTGAGAGGCCTGGTCTGGACCCCGTCCCTGGTCCATGGGGTGCCCTGAACACCAGCTTCCTGCCCACAGGGGTGGTTGCTAGTTCCTGTGTCCCAACCATGTGCTGCGGTGGGTCACAATGGCTCTGCCCCCTCAAGGTTCCCCTGCAAAAGGGCTCAGGAGTGATGGGTGGTGAACTGGACAAGGCCTCGGGACAGCCCTGACGGGCAGAAGCGGGGACCCAGGGAGGCTGTGCTCCTGAGGCTGCACCAACACGTGGCCTGAGCTGTGGGCCACACGCCACTGGCCAGACAGGCTGGGCCCTTGGGGCCCTGGCTGGCCCTCCTCCCTGCCTCCGGGGGCCTTTGCCCACTCTCTGGTTCCGTGCTTAGTCAGCAGGTCCTCACTGGGGCTTGGCCACATCCAGGACAGGGAAAGGGCCTACTCTGGGCCCTGGGGAATGGAGCGGGCAGAGCCCACATGTTTGTGGAGTGGGGGCTGGTGACAAGGACGTGGGGTCAGCAAAGTCTTTGGTGAGTGACTCCCAAGTTGGCCTTTCAAGCCCAAAGTAGGAGTTGGCTGGGCTGAAAGGGGCGGAGAGGACGCTCCGTCAGGGGAAAGCATCTGCAAAGGTGCAGAGGCGGAAAGGGCAGGGTGCAGGAAGGGCCGCGGCGCAGCAGCCTGGTTGGGGCGTGCGGAGCTCCTCCTCCTCTAGGCACCACCAGCCTCTGGGCAGTGCCTTGAACTGCCTGGCCCAGGCCTGCCTCGGTCTTAACTGCTGGCCCCACCGGCCCTCCTCGGGCCCAGGGGCTCCTGTTCCAGTGCTCAGCCTGAGCCGTTTGGTCTGGAGGCCTCCCGGGCAGCTGTCTAGAGGGCTCCCCTGTGGTCCTTGCTTGCGACCTCCGTGGTTTCCCCAGTGCTGGGCCACAGCAGCCCTTGTCTGTCCTCTGCAGGCTGCCCATCCTGCCCTCCCAGCTAGGTCAGCTCCAGCAGGGCGAGGTCCCACTCGCTCCGAGCTACACCCCGTGCCTGGCGCCCAGTAGGCACTGTACAGGTAAGAATCTGGCCCTGCCCACAGAGACCCTTAGCCTGCGCCCTTGGTTTCTGAAGGTCATCTTTGCCCTACCTGATAGGAGCACATTTGTTCATGGAGAGACTGACCGTGCCTGACTGGCTTGGGGCGGGGTGGGAGAAAGACCAACCACGTGACTGGGGTGTGGTGGGAGCCAGGGTCCCGTGACATCAGCTGACCTGGCACATGGGCCATGAATCAACCCATCACACCTGTGTCACAGCCCCAGGAAAGTCTTGGGGGGCCCAGCATGGTGCGGGGGGTGGGGGGGAGGCGTCCTGGCTTGGTGGGGAGAGGGCCAGTGGGGGCTCTGTGCCAGGAGCCCCCTGGACTCTGCTGGTGCGTCTCCCTCTTTGGCTGGTGTCACTCCTCTCCTTCCCTGTGCTGGGTGGTGACCAGGAGCAGCCCAGCTCCTCGTGAGGGCTGGGAGCCCTTCCACTAAACCATCAGACTTGGGGGCAGCCCTACGTTGGCAGTCGGTGTCAGGGTTCAGGGTGGCCTTGGGGACCCCCACTGTGCAGTCATCCCCAGACTTTCATGGATGAGTGAGGAGGTCAGCAGGGCCAGGGCAAAGACCCCTCGAGGCCCTTGCCGGACCTGCATGAGGGCTCTCCCGGGGCACCTGCTCACCCCTCCCGCCCTTGGCCCCTCTTAGGCCTGGCTGCCCACCCTGAGGCCTGGGGCGCTGGCCAATGAGTCGGCAGGAACTGGCCAGCGCCCTCCCGACTGCACGGAGACCGTGCCCTGATGGGGGTGGCATCAGAGACGGGGACCCACCAACCTTGCTCTTGTCTTCAGTTCTGGCTGCCTGCCGACACGCCGGGTGCCAGATGGAGGAACCTGCCGGCAAATTCCCAGGAGCAAGCGGTTAGAGGGGGGCCGCCTCCCGCAGGGATGTCTGCTCGCCAGCCCCAAGTGGCCACCCTCTGCCCTGGTTGGTGCCGGGCCTCTGCCCCTGGAGGCTCAGAGCCCAGTTTGGGTGGAGGCAGAAACAAGGAGCAGAGGTGCCACTGTGCACGGAGCGCCCCCACGGGAGGCACCAGCGGACGCGGGCCTTTGGCATGGCCTCGGGCTCAGAAGCAGGACCCCAGAAGGGCACGCGGGTGCTCCTCAGCTGACCCAGTGGGCAGACCCTCGGGGGCACCAGGTCTGCTCCACAGGCTCCAGCCCCGCCCTCCCCCATTCAGGCTTCGGGGCTCGCTGTGCCCTGGGTTCCTCACGGTGGCTCTGCCGGCACCACACCAGCAGCCACGCCATCCCCACCACAGGGTGGCCCAGTGCCCCACGTCCTGGCCCTCTGCTCTTGTCCAGGGCAACCCGACCTCCCCAAAACCAAGGCTGCGAGGACGTGCTGCTGCCACCTGGCAGCTCTCTGGGTGGACTCAGTACTGGGCAGAGGTGACAGTGAGCGGGGCCTAGAGGACTACATACGCGAGGTCAGCCAGGCCCACAGGGTGGGACTGGACGTAGCGGGCCCTCCTTCTAGATCTGGACACTGGGTTCTCTCTGGGCTCCTGGAGCCTCGGCCCAATCCCTGCTCCCCCGCCCCTCCCAAGCGCCCTCCGCTGGCTGCTGTGGTCCCGCCTGTCACCCACTGTCCCTGCAGCAGTGGCCATGTGCCCACCAAGCAGACCAAGCAGGCCACAAGGGCCTGGCCCAGAGGAGGGGCTTACAGAGCAGTGTGGGACGAGGGGACTCCATCCATCTCCTGCTACAGAGCTCCCCAGGGTGCGTGGAGGAGCCCAGGGAGTGGGTGTGCCTCCTGGGTGCCCTCAGCCTCCCTGGGGAGCTCTAAAGGGAGGTGGGTTGCGGGCACACGGTGCGCATGTCTCCCGACCGTTTTTACACTTACAGAAGTCCTCGATGCTCCTTACCAAAATTATTAGAAACTGAAAATGTCTGAGTGCTGGCCAGCTTCCAGGACACGGGCCTGCGGCGGCCCAGGGCTCAAAGCACGTGCAGTCTCCCAGGGATGGACCCAGGCAGGGCCTGTGCGTGCAGGCAAGCTCTGACCCACGCTGTGCCCAGCACATCCCGCGGCTCCCGCCTAACCGTGGCCTGAACATGCCCCCGTGAGGAAACGTCACCAGAGGTGCCATGGAGATTGGTGACAGTCTGCAGTAAGGGCAGGTGGCATTCTTCACACATTCTCCCCGGGGCTGCCTGGCTCGACCATGGTGTGGGGCTTGGGGCCCTGCTCCCGAGTCAGCTTGTGGAGCCCTGGTCCCAGGTGAGGACACGCTGGGGGCTCGTGAGATCTGGGGGCAACTTTCCACTTTCCACCCCACAGGGGTGAAGGGGTGGCCGTCCTGAGGTCTCGCCAACATGGTGGGAGAGGTGGTATCTAGGTCAGGTTTCAGCCCAGGCTCCTTGGTCACCAGCGAGTGCCAACCCCCTGACCCTCTGTTTACTGGGAGAGAGCTATTGAGGTGGCCTGGAGACCCTGGGGACAGCAGACCCACACGCCAGGGCTCCGATGACAGCATGATTCTCTGTCAAACTGAACCTTGATCTGACATGCAGGGAGGCCAAACAGGACCACCAGGCACAGGGCCACCGGGCACAGGGCCACCGGGCTTCTGCTGCAGGGTCCCATGGTCAGAGAGCAGAGCTCCAAAGCCACCAACCGGATCCAGGCTCCACTGTGCAGTGTGGGAGACCCAGGGTGCCAGAGAGCCGACAGGCTCAGCCTCCCTGCAGGTCCCTCTGTGGAGGTCCCGTGCCAGCCAAGACCAGAGTCATGACAGCGTCCTTGTTCCCCAGAACTGGGTGGCTCTTGATGCAAGCTCATGCCCCTGAGCTGCTGCCCAGCCCTGCGGTGTTGGCACCAGTCCAGCCCCGTTGTCTGAGAGCAGCATTGACTGTGGGGGCCTCCTGCAGAGGAGCCCGGGCTCTCCGGGGGGAGCACAGGACCCCTTTCAGGGCCCTGGGGCACAGACACAGGGAACAATAGGCAGTGCCGGGGACGAGGCTGTCCTGTGTGACATCACCCCATGGTCGCCTCAGAAAGGGAGGTCTGTCTGACACACAGCCTCCACAGGCACGCTTCAGTGGCTGAACGCTGGAGAGCAGCTACCGCCAGCTCCGCCTCCAGCCCTTGCCTGGGCCCTCCACCCATGGCCAGCCCAGCTGGCGTCCAGCCCGTGGCATGGACCCCACCAAGGGTAGCCTCTGACCCTGGGGCCCGAACTGCATGTCTGAGTTACCTTGAAGATACATCTCCTCGCCTTCCGCAAACATCTGGCCGCACCTGACGCAGAGTGCACACGAGGGGTGGTAGTGCTTCTGCCCGGCCTGCAGGAGAGCACACACAGGTTTCTGCTGCAGGACCCCTGCTGGGCCACGGCACTGGGTGGGGGAACCGCCCGCCCTGCTGAGGTCCTCAGGGATCCTGGACAAGCACCATAACCAGACCCCCCCCCCCCCCCCCCCCCCCCCGCACAGCCTCATCCAGCAGCTCCCCAGGCCACCGGGTCCTGTGTGGAGGCAGGGCACCCCTGGGCTGGGCTGTGGAGGGGTCGGGCTCAAGGGAGGCTGGGCCGCTGATCCTCTGCCTCTCAGGACACTGAGGGGCACAGGAGGGGCACAGGAGGGATACGGGAGGTGGGTGAAGGAGGAGGGCAGGAGCGAGCAGGCAGCGCGCCCCCGGGGGAGGGCGGGGTGAGAGATGATGAGCGGTGATGTTCTTCTGGAGGCTCTGGTTCCTCAACTTACTCAATTAGCAATTTCTATTTTTATAATTCCTAAAATCCATTAAACCCGATTATAAATGTCAATACTGAAACAACCTGAACAGATCACACGAGCGTAATGAGATCTGGCTTACTTCTGCATGAATCACACCAAAATATTATGTTCACTGTTATTCGTGGTGACCATGTGCTGGCCTCAGGTGAGGCGGGAAAGCCGGTTACTGAAGGTGGAGGGACGTCCCCAAGCTCCATTCTTACCTGAAATGGGAAGCAGCTGGTGCCCACCACCCAAATGTGAACCTATGATGTCTCTGTCCTGCGAGAGCGACTGAGGAGGGCACTTCCAGCCTCTCCCCTCCCTCCCTGACCCCTCCCTGAACCCAGGTCATCCCCCTGCGTGGGCCCAGTGTGGCCAACCAGCGAGGCCCACTCAGGGCTTTGGGCAAAGGACCCTTTCCGGGCACCATGAGGGCCCCACCCTCGTCCTGCCGGCCGTCCATCCCCAGGCCTCTGCTCACGCTGTCCTTCTTGCTCCCCCAGCTGCTGCCCGGAACGTTCTCTCCTCGTTCCCATGCCTCTTCCTCGAAAGCCCTCCCTGAAGGTGTCCCTGACTTGGTCCCTCCCACCCGGTTCATGCTGGAAGCCATCAACCTACAGTGAGCCTCTGACAGGGCACCTGGGCCTCTGGGATCACCAGTGGCCTGCTCTTCTGGTCAGAAGGCTGCACCACAGAGCCTGGCCAGAGGGTGATCAGGAGGTCTCAGTGGCTCACACAGCTAGTGGTCAGAGATGCCCACTCCCCAGGCATGAATGTGAGAGGGAAACCGCTCTGCATTTCAGAAGCAGAAGTCACTGCTGACGACTGGTGTCACCACTGATGTCACGGAGCTCAGATGGAAAGCCCCTCCTCCCTGCACAGTCTGTGACCTCTGGCCTTCCTTGCACCCACCCCATCCAGGGGCCCCCATGGCTTTTGTCACAGAACTTCTGGGACAGCTGGACGAGGGGGGGTGCATCCTCCAGGGCAGAGGCCTGCATGGCTGGACGCTTCTCAGCAGCAGAGGCCATGTCGCGACAGCCGGCGAGGCCTGTGGAAGCAGGTCATGTTCTGGATTGTTCTAACCCTGCTGTGCCCACGAGGTGCCTCATCAGCCCCTTTCCACAGGAGACACTGCGCACTGGAGGGGCTCAAGCAAGGTCACGGACGGGCAGGCGGGAGGTGGGATCAGAGCCACCGCCCCTGAGCGCACACACGCAGGCCGTGCCCACGGGCCCTCGGTCCCCAGACTGGAGGCCCTCAACCCCGGGGGGCAGGTCCGGCCTCAGAGCCACGCCGCCTCTCGCCTGGGCAGACATCGTGGAGACACACATGGAAGACGGCACAGACGAGGACAGACCCTGTTCTGCCACAGCCAAAGCGAGGCCGAAACTGGTCCACATTGTCAGAGTCGGATGGGACTGCTTTGGGGGAAGGGACCGGACAGGGGCCCATGGACATCTAGGGCTTGTCATGTTCTCTGTCTGGGTCTGGCTCCTGGTGACATGGGTGTCTCCAGTTTTCAAACATTTATCAAGCTGCACGCTTCCCATTTGAGCGGGTTCTCCTCCGTGTGCAAGTCACACGCCGTGTGCGTCACCACAGTGGCTCAAAGAGCTCACAGAAGAGCTCACGGGCCAAACCATTGGGCAAGCACAGGCAAGGCCACGGGAGCCCCGTCTGGCAATGGGTTCCCAGGCTAGACACCAGAAGCATGAGCAAAAAGGAAACCAAATGAATTGGAATCCAACGAGATCCAAAACTCTTGTTCTTTGGAGGACATTAACAGAACAGTGAAAAGACAAATTTTGGGATAAAATATTTGCAAATCATAACCTGATAAGGGCACAGTGTCCAGGATACCGAGTCACCGCCACTCAACAAGAAGACAACCCAACTGAGGGAGGCACGTCCCCAAACAGAGACTGAGATATCAACAGGCGCCTTGCCGGGTGCCCGGCATCACTGCCATTAGGAATGCAGGTCCAACACCGGGAGGCCGCAGGAGTGACCGCAGGCAGGGACAGCTCGAGGGCAGCAAGGTGTGGGGAAAGCGCGCCGCGGCAGGGTGAGGTGGTACAGCTAGTGTGGCCGGCCGGCGGCCACCACACGGCCACCCGCAGCTTCATCACAGGGACCAGAAATCTACCCCCTGGCCCTGAGGGAAAGTGAAGAGGAGGGAGACAGGAAGATGTGACAGATGTCCACTGCAGCGTGACTCAGGTAGCGGAAGGGTCCAGCCATGGAATACCCGTGGGGGGGACTCGAGGTGTGCCCACCCGTGGGAGATGGCGCAGCGGCAGGAGGGACTCAGCACTGACCCGTGCTGCAGACGGATGGGCCGTGGGACCCCCGAGGGGGAGAAGCCTGCCACAGATGGCCACGTGCATGTGGTTCTGTCCCCGGGGGCAGAAAGCCGCCGTTCCCACAGTGTAGGTCAAGGTGAGGGCTGTCAGGTGTCCATGTCACACAGAGCAGCCAGCAGCAGAGGACCAGGCCGCCAGCGTGCAGACCCCGTCTCCCCTCCTCTGCAGGAGGAGCCAGGGACTCCCTCCTCCTGGCCACCGGGAGGACAGGCCAGCCGTGAGCCTGGCTCCCCGAGGCAGCCCCTCCTCCCTGCTCAGCCAAACACAGAACCTGACAAAGGCCCTTCCATGCCTTGCCCACCATGCCTGCTGCTACCCCTGCGTCCCCACCATGCGCGGGCCCCAGGTTCAAGGCTTCAGATTCCTTTTTGAATATCCAGAACTGAATTCAGACCTCGAAAGAGCCCATCGCCATGGCGCAGAGGGAGGGTGACACTCGCAGAGAAGAAAACCAAGATTCGCACACAGGCCACTCCACCTAAGAGCATTTGGGCAGGTGGCTCAAAACCCCCAAGGGCTCTTTTGGTTGGTGCTGGGAGTTGAGCCCAGGGCTGCGTTACCCCGGCGACATCTCTCAGAGACAAGGTCTCACTACGTTGCTTAGCTGCCAAGTTGCTGAGGATGGCCTTGAACTTCCATCTCCCTGCCTCGGCCTCCCAAGTCACAGGGACTACAGGCGAGTGCCACCGACCCAGCCCCACAGGGCTCTTCACCCTGAGACCCGGTGGGAGCAACTTTCCCAAAGAAGAGCCTGACTCCTGCTGTGTCCCGCGAGCCCTGGGAGGGGCTGCACCCCTCCGGGAGCCTCCGTCACCCTGTGAGCTTCCCCTTGCAGCCCCACCCCTGTGGCTCGGCTCGCCAGAGCATCGCCAGGACCATGCCTGGCCATTGGCTGGACCCCTCCTCCGCCTTTCTCCCTGCCTCACTCCATCCAGGACAGAGGCTCTGGGAAGCTGGCCATGTCCACTCATCGTCTACTGAGCCACAGGCCAGGGCCATGCCCAGGAGAGATGTCCACTGAAGGTGCTTGGAACAGAGGATGCAGGGCCACCGGTCACTCGTACAGAGTCCCTAAGGACAAAGGGTGCTAATGGAGTGCCTTGGGAAGAGCTGAAAAACCCAGGCCACGGGCAGTGTCCACACGTGCCACCCCAAGGACTGCAGCCCGTGCCCCGACATCCCTCAAACACAGGGCCAGGGACACAGATGTGAACCGTGTGTCAGGGGCCTGGGGCCTCGCTGCACCACGGGTCAGGCATGAAGTGGCACCAGGAGGAAGGCCAGGAGGAGTGCTCGTGTGGGCTGTGTCCACTGCATGTGCTGTGTGCCTGCACGTGCCCATCTGTGCCTGCTGTGCACCTGTGTCTGTGTGTCTGTGTGTCTCTGTGTGCGTCCAGGTCTGCTGTCTGTGTGTCTGTATTATGTCTGTGTGTCTGTCTGTCTGTGTCTGTGTGTCTCCGTGTTGTGTCTGTGTGTCTCCATGTCTGTTGTGTCTGTGTGTCTGTGTTGTGTCTGTGTGTCTGTGTGTTATGTCTGTGTGTCTCAGTGTTGTGTCTGTGTGTCTGTGTGTCTCCGTGTCTGTGTATTGTGTCCATGTGTCTGTGTGTTGTGTCTGTGTGTCCATGTCTCTGTGTGTGTGTGTCTAGGTCTGCTGTCTGTGTGCCTGTGTGTTGTGTCTGTGTGCCTGTGTCTGTGTGTCTCAGTGTTGTGTCTGTGTGTCTGTGTGTGTGTGTCTGTGTGTCTCAGTGTTGTGTCTGTGTGTCTGTGTGTCTCTGTGTCTGTGTGTTTGTGTGTTGTGTCTGTGTGTCTGTGTGTTGTGTCTGTGTGTCTGTGTGTCTCTGTGTCTGTGTGTCTCAGTGTTGTGTCTGTGTGTCTCCATGTTTGTGTTGTGTCTGTGTGTCTGTGTGTTGTGTTTGTTGTCTGTGTGACTGTGTGTTGTGTCTGTGTGTCTGTGTGTTGTGTTTGTTGTCTGTGTGACTGTGTGTTGTGTCTGTGTGTCTGTGTCTCAGTGTTGTGTTTGTGTGTCTCCGTGTCTGTGTGTTGTGTTTGTTGTCTGTGTGACTGTGTGTTGTGTCTGTGTGTCTGTGTGTCCCTGTGTCTCTGTGTGTGTCCAGGTCTGCTGTCTGTGTGCCTACGTATGTGTCTGTGTGTCTCTGTGTCTGTCTTTGTGTTGTGTCTGTGTGTCTGTGTATCTCCATGTCTGTGTTGTGTCTGTGTGTCTCCATGTCTGTGTTGTGTCTGTGTGTCTGTGTGTTGTGTCTGTGTGTTGTGTCTGTGTGTCTGTGTTTCTATGTGTCTGTGTGTCTCTGTGTCTATGTGTCTTTGTGTCTGTGTGTCTCAGTGTTGTGTCTGTGTGTTTGTGTGTCTCCATGTCTGTGTTGTGTCTGTGTGTCTGTGTGTTGTGTCTGTGTGACTGTGTGTTGTGTCTGTGTGTCTCTGTGTTGTGTCTGTGTGTCCGTGTCTCTGTGTGTGCAAAATTTGAAAGGATCCCTTCCAAGTGCTAAGCGGTCTGGGTGGTGGCATTTGCAGGCGTGATCTGTTTCTGGGCTGATAAGCAGGTTCCCCCGAGCATGTCTTTAGGTAGACGTCCACTGTAAGGTGGGTGCGTGGGGAGCCGCCTCGCTGTCCTTGGGAAGCTCTCCGCGGATCGGAAGCACATAGCTTTTTTTCTGCAAATTTCAGGCAGTATCCTGGGGTCGCGGAGGTGTGGTCCTGGACTGGAGAGAGTGGAAGTGGCCGCCTGACAGGGCAGGGCAGCCTGGGTGGCCCCTCTCTGCAGAGGCCACCCACCCTAAGGACCCAGCCCCCAGCCAGGGAGGGACGCTGAGTCCAGCCAGGGTCTGCAGGAAGGAAGGGGGAGGCCAGACGAGGGAGGAAGAAACCAGGAAGGCCCAGGGAGGAGGCCTTAATCAGGGTCCCAGCAGGACGGGCGCCGGGCGTCCTCACCATGAAGACAGAATCAGGTACCCCTGCTGCACCAGCAAGCGGGGGCGGGCGCGGCACTCCAGGGTTGAGGGAGGGCGTCGTGAGGAAGAATCTGCCCCCACCTGCTCCCTCCACACCCACGGGGGGCACCCAGCAGTGCTGAGCACAGAGAGGTGACCTGCCTGAAGGAGCCGGCCCCCCACAGCGCTGACTCCCCTCATTCCCCACTCTGCCCTCACCCAGCTGCAGCCTGGGGTCGCCACAGGCTGTCTCGGCGACGCCACCAGCCAAGGCAGCTCTGCGGGGGCAACGCCAACCCTCCCGGAGCCACCCAGCTGCAGCCTCTGCCAGCACCAGGGCTGCCCCCCCCACCTGTGCTCTCAGGCCAGGCCCCCGGGCTCCCTGCCGTCCATCCTAGCCAAGAGGGAGGGGTGCAGATACCAGCCCCTCCAGACCCCAGAAGACCCCAGTGTGGAGCAGCCTCCTTCAGATGGAACCCAGAGACGCAGGACGAGGAGCTTCCACACTCAGGAGGAAGCGAGGAGGCTGGGAGGGAGGAGGGAGGGAACCATCAGATGCACATTTCACGGCCGGCTGCTGGCGCTCGGCGCTCAGGATGGCACTGTGCCCACCACACACAGCCCAGCGAGGACTCCTGCTGCTGGGGGACCCGGGATGCTCTCCTGCTCACTGCAAGGACAGGACGGCCAGGGGCACCCACCGGCCTCTTAGGTGGCACGGGGGGTAACAAGTGTCCCCAGAGGCCTCGGGCCCGATGGAGCCGACCCATGAGCTCACCCCGCTGCCCAGCACGGCTCCTGTGAGGCCCCTCCGCCCCTCCAGGTGCCCGGCCAGGCCTCCTACCTGCACGGTGTCCTGGCACCTCAGCCCAGTCCCATGGCCAGCCACGGCCCTCGTCCAGTGCGGAGCCCTCACCCCTCCCCCATCCTCCCAACTCTTATTTTTTTCCAGATCTGTCACTTGCTCCTGCTGCTCTGCAAGAGCCCGCTGTCACCAGCTGGGTGCCAGCCCCGTGGCGGCTCCTTTCTGCGGAGCCCAGCTTGTCTCCGCCTGCAGCTCCCGCCTCGCACCGCCGAGGAGGATGCTCGGAGCTCTGCAGAGCCTGCGGCTCCCCACGCCGCCCCGCACGCTCGCCGCCGCCGCGCAGCAGAGGCAGGAACAAAGCAGGTCCTCCCGGGGCCCCTCACCCTCCACTGCTGACAAGGAGGAGCCCAGGCCTGGCAGCACAGGGTCCAGAAAACCCAGAGGGCCCCACGGGACACCAGAGCCCAGATCCCACTGTGGCCCAGGAGTACTTCAGTCCACCCTGAGGGGCCAGCTGGTGGCCTGAGGTCAAGGTCCCTCCCCTCTGTCACCATAGAGCACAGGGAGCTGGGCCACTACACAGAAGATGTCCCGGCTCCTTACTGTCGCGGCTCAGGGGCAGCGCTGCTGGGGGAGGCGGGGCAGGCAGGTGGGGCTCGCCAGGCCTGAACCTGTCTGGGGCAGGGCTGCTGCCCAGATGTCAGGGAGCTGGGCTCCTGCTGTCGGGCTCCTGGACCTGGAGCCACAAGCGAGCCCAGGGTGCACAAGGCGTCACAAGCTGGAGACAGGATTAAGTGGCCATGTGGGCAGAGGCCATGTGGTGGGGAGGTGGATGGGCTCACGTCCAGCTCTGCCTCCTGCTCACAGGGGTCATGGCCCGGCACGCGTGGGGGATTCCCACAGCTGGCTGGGCTCCAGGGCCTCGGCATTTCAGAGAGGGTCAGCCAGGTGAGCCTGGAGGTGCCCATGCCCAGGCCACTTGAGAGGAGGGAGGGGAAGGTCCGAGGTCCTCAGAGAAGGGGAGCCACAAGGCAGCTGTGAAGGGAGGAAGGAACTGCAGGCCAGGATGCCCAGCGGGGTGTGGCTTTCAATGGGAGATACTGCAGACAACCGAAAGCCACAGGGTCCGAGAGCCTCGGGTGGACAGGGGAGGAGGACGGGAGGGTAAGGCCCCCGGGAACTGGGAGGTGCAGGACCCGGCACAGGAGGGGTCCTTGGGGGAGGAGACAGGATGGGTCATCTGTCCACATCTGGAGGGTAGGAATATTGGATATGATTGCTGCCCAGGAAGACACTTCCGGAACCCAGGGAGACGAAACGGCAGTCTCACGGTAAGAAGCATTCCCAGGAGACAGCAGGGAGAGACCCCGAAACCCCAGCAGACCCAGAGTACACAGGATCGTTGAAATGCTAGAACGTCACACAAATCAAAGTGACAAGGGACACTTGGCTCCCCAGGAGTTGAAAGCCAGGCACTTTTGACGCAGTTTGCGATTGCTTTCCAGAACTTTCCAGAAGTGCTCACAGGTTCGACCCAGCTTCTACATTTCTGTGAATTCCTCTGAAGGAAAATTGGAAATGCAAACAGAACCTTATAACAGAAAGCGACTCCAGCTGCAGCGCTCTGTATTTGCAGTGGGACTGGAGGGAGCCCCTGTCGACCAAGTCAGGAGCCTGGCAAGCCCTGGGGCAGCCGCGTGGCGGGTATGGTGCCGCGTGGTGTTAAAACACGTGCCCTACGAGCGAGTCGTGAGCATTACACGGTGGGACGGGAGCAAGTCACCGAAGATCTTGAGGCCATCCGCGTGGAACGTGGTCAACAGGGGAGCCCGCGGGCGCAGGCGGACTGGTGGTCACCGAGGGCTGGAGGCACAGGGAAGGACAGCCAAAGCCTATGGGGCTTTTTTTCAAGGTGATGACAGTGTCCAAAATGGGCCTGGCCACCCCGAACATGCCTGTGCTGAGCTGGACACCCTGAGCCGCACACCTCAGGGGGCGTCACATCTCAACAAAGCTGCCCGAGGTCCAGAACACCAGACAAACACTCCAGATCACGTTCTAGCCACACAGACATGCGGTAACGGGGACTCTGAGTTGGAAATCACCATGACATAATATTGCAGTGACGGCTTGATGTCAACCGAATCACGGAAAGAAAACACGAGGAAGGGAACCAGAGACCTGGGCTGGGACCACGTTGTGGTGACATTTTCTGCGCTTCGGGCTGTCCTCGGCTTTAGCAAACCTTCTCCTATGGAAGGGCGAATCCTAAATCCATCCTGAGTGCACTCAGCAGAGGGAGACCTCTGTGTGGTGGGCTGTTCCCAGGTGGGTGGTGTCCAGCACCCCTGGGTGAGGGAGGGCTGGAGGAAGGAGCAGCTGGGGTGAAGGTAGCTGAAGCCCCTGGGCGGTCCCGCCTCATCTCCTGGAGCCCAGAGCCCCGCAGGAGCAGGGCACTGGCAGAGAGGCTGGGGAAGAAGGCCGCTTAGCTCTGCAGGGCGGGCTCCCGGTCACCTGCTCCCTGCAGCCCCAGGCCAGCCCCAGCTCATCCTCTGCCCTGCTCTCTCTGGAACCCCAGGGCTGCCCCTGTGCTTCTCACGAGGGCTCCCACAGCCCCTGGCCTTGCCCAGCCCCTTCTTCTTCCCTGAGCTGGTCATTCCAGGGGCCACGGACCACCATGGGCTGGAGAGTCCACCCTCCTACAGGCATGCAGCACAGAGCCCAGGAGGGGCCGCAGCATGTGCAGGGCTGGTAATCGGCTGGACGGGGAGTGGAAACCTGGGCCGTACATGTGCCTTTCACACCAGGAACGTGCCACCGCCCGCCACCCAGATCAAAGCACAGCCTGCCAGGCCTGGGAGCGTCCCCTCCTGCAGTCACCATGCAGGCTGCCTGCCCATGGCCACTCTGCCTCCTGCGGGGACATAGTCCTGCTGAAGGGAGGGGCACCACACCTGCCTTCAGGGCTCAGTCTTGCTGAGTCCCCTGCTGGACAGGAAGGCTGGGCCAGGAGAGCTCAAGGCCTCCCCAGTGGGCCCTGGGCCCTGGGAAGTGGCACCCACGAGGCTCCCCAGGGGGCCTGCGGCAGAGTGGAGCCGGGTGTGGAGGTCGGGGCTCATGAAGAGCTGGGTGGGCCCCAAGACCCAGCCCTGGCACGGGCCGCCGCTTACCTCCAGCACGCGCCCCGTGATGTACTTCTCACAGGTGTCACAGCGGATGCCGAACTTGGCGTGGTAGTCGGTCTCGCAGTAGGGCAGCCCATCCCTGCAGAGAGACGGCGGTCAGGGCGGGCGGGGCCCCCAGGATCCCAGGATGCGACTACCTTCACAAGGGGCCTCTGTGGAAGTGGGGGACCCACCTCCTCCCACGCCAAGCAGCAGTGCCTCCCTGGGAGCGTCCCCAGGAAGGTCCAGCTGGGTTCTAGCAGGGCATTCCTGTAAGATGACCACAAAGGCCACCCACTGCACAGAGCCCCCTTCCTGGGCAAGCTGTGAGGAAGTCGGGTGGTGTGTCCTCCCCTCTGTGCACCGGGGCTGTTGGTGGCACGGGAATTCAGTGTGGATGGAGGGGGACCATCATTTGGGGAGCTGCTCCCAGGGCCGCTGGTTCCAACCCTGCTTCTGCTTTAAGTGGGCTATAGGAGAAGAGCCAGTGGGCAGCCGAGCAGGACGGCCGAGCCGACGTGACTCCTGGGCCATCTGTGGTCCACTCTGCCCACCGTGAGGCCCTCATCAGACACAAGCCATACAGGCAGGGGAGGGATGGCTCAAGGTGGCACTGAGGTTTCCAGGCGGCCATGCTCAGTGTGTCCCAAGCACGGCAGGCGGGAGAAGGGACTTGGACTCAACAGCATGCCTCATCTGTGTGACCCTGGGCAAGTCACTTAACCTCCTGAGCCTCAGCTTCCCCTCTGGTGGAAGGGGAGAAATAATAATAAGGAGCACTTAAGAGGGCCTGGCCAGCGTCCAGCACTGGGCAGGTACTTGCCCAACAACTGCCAATCAGAGCTGTCCTCTCAGCCACAGGCTGTGGCCCAGGAGGAGTTGGGCATGAAGGTGACTGGGTAGAGGGGCACCTGCCACTCCAAGGTGGGCCCCTCTCCTGCACCACGTTGCTGTTCTTCTGAACTCAGCCTTGCACTCCAGTGATGAGGGCCACCTCCTCCCTCCACTCCCTGGCCCTCTGCCAGGCCCACGGTGCTCATGGGGGCATAGCCAGGGCTGCGTCCCTCTGTGATGGCCTGTGCCTGGGCTGTGGGTGGGCCACCTCTGGGGGAAGAGGGACGGCCCTTCCTTCCACCTGGGGAAGAAGAGCTGCCGACCTCAGGGCCCCCATCCGGCCCCACAGTGGGTGTGTCTGAGCAAACTCTGCAGGTTCAAAGATGACGTCTCCATGGCAACCCACGCCTCCTCCCCCTCAGTTCTGGGACACGCTGGAGGCTGCTAAGTAACGCCAGCGTGTGGGTGAGCCGGCAGCACTGCACGGGGGTGGCGGCCTGCCCAGGGCTGGGCACCGTCGGCCATTGCACTCCAGGGGCCCCGTGCCTCCCGCTGGTCCACCTCGGGCCCTCCCACCCGCCCTGGACGGAGGCTCAGCCCCGCGAGGGGGCTCTGCCTTAAGACGCTTGACCTGGAGGTCACGGCAGTGTGTGCTGTTCTGAGAGACAGGCCCTGGCCCCAAGCCGGTCCCCACGGTGATGGGGGCCAGGTCAACCAGGATGTCGGCATGGCAGGCCCGTGGGCCATCTGGATGCGTGTACCCGCTCTCCTGTGTGTGTGTGTGTGTGCGTGTGTGCATGTGCGCTCACTTCATTCTATGTCTTGGGCCATGGGACTTTTCCACTGGTCATTCCACACACTACTCCTGGCCCCCGAGAGCATGAAGAGCTACCACCGACTGGGAGATGCGGGCAGAGGGCCCTGAGCCCAGGACGGGCCTGTCTGCCCTGGGAGGCGCTGTCCTTCACGGGTTGCCCCCGCGCTTTCTCGCCTACACTGTGGGGGGCCGCCCGCTTCAGTTTCCTGGTCCCCGAGTAAAATCGCACCCTGGCCCGGAGGTCTTACTAATGAGCACACTGCAGTGACACAGCCACGAAATGTTTACAGCAGCTCCATTCACTATAGCCAGACTATGGAACCCACCTGGGAGCCCTCCAAGATGAAAGGACAAGGACCATGTGGCACGTATACACTGGAATATTACTCAACCTTCAAGAAGAATGAGGTGAGGGCATGGGCAGGTAAATGGTTGGAACTGGAGACGGTCATGCCAAGTCTGGAGACTCTCATGCCCATCCCAAAAAACCAAAGGCCGGCTGTTCTCTCTGATATGCAGATGCTGACTCACAGGGGAGGGAGGTTCCCCGGGCTGGACAGGAGGAGTGGGGGACAGAGAGAGGCGTGGGAATGGGAAAGACAGTGGAATGAACTGGACCTCACTCTCTGTGTTCCTATATGAACACACGACCAGGGTGACCACATCATGTACAACCACAAGAATGGGGAGTTACATCCAGGATGTGTCCACAGACACTCTACTCTCACATATATGCCTCCTGGCAACTAGCCCCTCCCTGGCCATGAGAGCCCCAGGAGGTGCCCCAGGGCCTAGGAAGAGCCAGGCCCTGCCCCCTAACAACCTAACAGCTCCTTCCCCTAACCTTGTCGGGGGACACTGCCACCAGGGCTGGCAGCCCCGAGGGCCCTGCTCTGCAGAATTCAGGGTGTGTGGCCCTGGAGTCCCAACCCTGACCACCAAGACAATCCTCCTTTCCTGTTCCTGTGGCCGGCATCTGCTGACCGTGCATTGTGCTCACAGGTGTCCAGCTTTGGAACATCCAGGTGCCCGGGAGGTGGGGGGCCATGTCCAGGGATAGAGCTCGAGGCCTCGACAAACCCGTTCCCGACCAGCAGAGGGAGCTGGAGCCTCTGCCACTATTTGAGGAACCAAGGATGGGCCAGGAGAAGCTGGGCGGGGGGACAGGTCAGGTGGGCTGCTTCCTCACCCCCAGTGGGGAGGTCGCTGCAGGAGGGGGACACGCGGGGCAGCAGCCCACAGCCCGGCCCCCGTGGCTCCGGCCCGGCCACTTACTTGCTGATGTACTCTGCGTCTAGGAGCTTCCCGCAGGCCTTGCACGTGAAGCAGCCCAAGTGCCAGTGCTTGTCCAGAGCCACCAGGGCCTGGCCGTTTTGGATCTCTGAGCCACAGCCCCCGCAGCCTGAGGGAAGAGCAGAACACAGACGTCCTCACGTGGGGCCCAACACCACCAAGGGTCCTGGAGGTGACCTGGAGGCGCCAAGGGCACCAGGCCAGAGAAAGAGGGCAGCGGGCAGCCCTGCTGGCTCGAGGGAGGCCCGGCCGCCCTGGCTGACGGAGACGGGAGAACGAGGGTGTTCTGGGGTTCCGGGGCACCGACTGGGGCCGCAGAGCTGGGAGCAGGGGAGCCAGAGCCAGACATGGGCCTGCCTTCCAGAAGGCCGGAGCCACCTCCACAGCGTCCACGCAGACAGGGGCACAGGGTGGAGGCCTGGCATCTCCCCAGGCCCCTCCCCTGGAGGCAAGACGCTGAGCCCCGGGAGGCAGCGGCCCCCTGGAGGGAAACGGGCTGCACTGCAGACGACTGGGCGCCCGGGCAGAGTCTGGCTGTGCACTGAGGTGTGCAAGGTGGGCAGACAGGAGTCTGAGGGACGGCCTGAGGGACTCCAGTGCAGGTAGCTCCTGGGCTCAGCTCTTACCTGTGGGTCCCTCCCAGGAAGCCCCTCCCATCCCCAGCTCCTGCTGCCACAGTCTGCGGCCCCTGGCACAGCACGCCCTGCACGATGCCCCATTCTACCCGGGGACTCTGCCTGGGCCCAGCGGGCTCTGCACTGGCCTCGGGCCTCCTCCCCCTGCAGCCTGACCTGTGGGCTCCCACGGTGGCTGCCGCTCTGCACCCTGTGGCCAATGGCCTGGTCGGGGCCCTGGCCGGCCTCCCCGTGTTGCCTTCCCTCCCAGCCAAGCTGCCCGGGCCTCTGCACCTGGCCCTTCACTGCGCCAGATGCTCAGGCCCCTCCTCCAGTGAACTCTCATGTCATGGCCCCATGTAACTGTCACTCAAACGGCTTATTGAGGACGAGTGGGGACTCAGCAGGGGGAGCTGGGCAGAGACTGGCAGCATGAGCCCACACGGGGGAGGGGGCAGTGCCCAGGGGCGTGTGACTATGTAGACACATGTGTGTGTGTGTGTGCAGGTGTGCATGGGGTGTGTCGTGTGAGCATGTGCACAGCCATAGTGCAGGGCCCTGGTACCCACAGGGCTTGGTTCCAAGACCCCTGAGGAGACCAAAGTCCACGGTGTTCAAGCCCCTGACGGGTGGCACCCTCCCGTGTGCCGAACACCTGCAGACCACCCCCAACACCTGGTGCGTGACAGTGCCTCGTGGACAGTGGCCACACTGGTGAGAGAACACGTGGCACAGGCCACGTGTGCTCAGGCCCAACCCTAGTGTTGAGCAACAGTGGTTCACGTGGTCTGACCCAGGTTGGTTGCCACCGTGGGGTGGAACCAGGCACAGGACCGAGTGGACACGTGTGTGTGCACCTCTGCCTTTGTGTGCAGGAGGGTCTCTGTGTGCAATGTTGTCTCTGTGTGTCTCTGACGACGTCTGTGTGTGCACGTGTGTCTATGCACACATGTCTGCAGGTGTGAGTGTGTCTGAGGGGCTCTTGTGTGTATGTGTGCGTATCTGTGTGAGAGTCTGGCTGTGCACTGAGGTGTGCAAGGTGGGGCCTTGGGGTCCTGTGTGGGCAGACAAGCCACCATGGCCTGAGGGGCCCCAGTGCAGGTGGTTCCTGGGCTCAGCCAGCTGGCTCAACAGGGAAGAATGTGGCTCCAGGTCCAGACAGACCCGCTGCAAATCCTGGCCCACCACTGCAGGGCCACCCTGGGCAGGGGCCCTTCCCCTTGAGGCCTGTTTCCTGGGGGACAGGCTGTGATGTTGGCAGTCACTGGCCAGCTCAGATACAGCACAGCTGGCCTGGTACCACAGCTGCCGGCCCTCAGCTCAGTCAGGGCCAAGCAAGACCCACAGGGCCTGGCGTGCAGTGGGCTCAGGCTGCTTGGCACGGGTCTTGTTATGCCCACGGATATGCTCAGGGCCTGAGTCACTGCTTTGAAGAATAAAGTGAACCCACACCCACTACGCGCGGCTCAGGCTCTTCCTGAGTCAACGCTCTGCTCCATCCACGTGCAACTTTGGAAACAAGTGAAGAGACTTAACCCAGGACCAGGCCCCGAGGGAGGGCCTGAGAAGCTGGCTGGCCTGAGAAGCTCAGGTGAAGGAATGAATGGAGCCAAGGTGGGGGGACCCTGTTCAAGTCCAAGGGCCAGAAGAGCTCAGAGCAGACACCTCTCTAGCTGCAGACGCATGTGGCCACCGGCATGTTGGTCCAGGGCATGCTGTGGGAGCTCCATGTCAGAGGCTGTCAGCTGGGGTGATTTGTTCTCAGGGGACAATGATAATACCTGGCGACCCCAGGGGTGGGGCTCCCGCCATCTAGAGGTAGGGGCTGGGATGTGCTGAGCCTCCTGCTGTGCACAGGGCAGCCCCCCATCACCTGGCCCCAGAGGCTCGCTGTGCTAAGGCTGAGGACCCCATGCTGAGCCCTGGTTGGCATCAGTGTGTGATGGGCGAACGGGGAGACAGCACACCAGGCGGCAGTGCGGGGGACAGGCAGCCTGGGGCAGGGTGGGGGATGTGGAGCCTGAGCCAGGCTGCCCGGGCCCAAGCCCAGCTGTGCCCCTCCAGCTGTGGACCACCGGGAAGTCACTTGATCTGTGTCCAAATGAGAGGAGGACACCCTTGTGGAGTGGCAGCACCAGCCTCCTGCAGGGCAAAGACAGGCGCAGCCCAGGCATGAAGGACACGCCTGGTGAACTACAGATGCCCGTTGGTCCTGCTGCTGTGGCCAGACAGTGCCTGGTGGGGCCCAAGACACCACCCCCTTCCTACTGCACCAGCAGCGTGCCTGCCCCGCCCAACCTCCAGCTCCTGGGGGGCTGCCTCCATTTCTCTGCCTGAGCCCAGTGGAGGGCCCAGAGGCTCTGGGCACATTGGACATGGACCTGACAGCCCGTCCCTCACTCCTCCTTGGCCACCTGGGGGGAGCACTGCTATCAATGAGCAGTGAATGTAGGGACCAGGGGGAGAGAGGGACGTCGCCATGGAAACCTCAGCCATCTGCACACATGTGGGGCTCAGCAAGGCTCTGCGTGGCTCCGCCAGGGACAGAATAGCCACATGTGACCTACGCTGCCCCAGGCTCAGCCGCAGTTTGGCCTTAGAGTGCAGCGGGCCTGCGGGGCACCCCCAGAGTTGGCCGTCCACCTGCCATGCCCCGGGCCTGGCTCTGCCACCTGGAGCAAGGGGCTGGGGCTGGGCTCTTCCTGATAGGAGCCTTCTAGAACCTTCCAGTTCCTGGTTCCCCTTAAATGGTCCTTCTTCCAGAAGAGGGCACAGGGTTCAGGCCCTGGTCCTGCCCGTGAGTCCTATAGGGACCAGGATGTGCTGAGTGGTGTCTAGCCCTCGCCTGGGACCTCAGAGGGTGGGCTCCGACCCCCACCCCCTCCACCTGTGGCCCCCCAGTCTAGCAGGGTCAAGGTGATGGGGGCTTAGTCCCTGTGTTGGGCCTGAGCTGGAAACAGGGGGCTGATGGAGCCCAAGGCTCATGGTGACTGAGAAGTGACCAGCTGGCCCGAGAACTCCTCTGGCCATGGTGGAGTGAGAGGGGCGGAGCATGGCTGGCACAGGCCACGTGTGCTCAGGCCCAGCCCTGACATGCTACGGGTCCTCACCAGACAGGGGCACCACAGTGACGGCCCATGGTGGGTGCAGGGCCTGGGGAGGAGCAGAGGGGGCCTTGCCTCTGGAGTCATTGTCCCTGACTTCATGGATGGCTGCAGATGGGCTGTGCCCCATTTCCCAGGGAGCCTGGCACCAGGCCACCCTGCTGGGGAGGGGCTGGGGCTCCAGGTCCTAGTCACCACCCTCTTAGAAAGCCAAGCTGCACAGCCTCCCACCAAGGAAGACGCAGGGCTGTAGGTGCCGTAGCCCAGGTGCCAAGGCCCAGGCGGCACAGACCCAACCCTGGAGAGAGAGGACCCATGGCCCCGTCCTGGGCCTGGCCGCCAGCTCTGCACAACCCCTTCCTGCCCCTCCACCCGACACCCTCCAGCCTGGCTGCAGAGCCTGAGGGTGGAGCCATAGGGCTGGGGTGGCCAAGCCTCAGCCCCGTCCTGGGGCTTCTCAGCATGGACAGAGCTGCTCCCCATCCTGCCCTGGGTTGAGCCCCTCTAGACCACTGCCCAAACCTCTGCTGGCCCAGCCACCCTACGGCCTAGAGAGGGAAGTGGCTTCATGGATCAGAGGTCTGTGAGGGTCCATCCACCAGGCAGCCAGGCTCAGGCCAGCCCTGGTTGGCCCAGTGATGGCCTCATGGAGCATTGCCTGTGACCAGCACCTGACCAGACCTGGACAGAGCAGGGCTCCCAGGACAGGGGCACCCTCCACGGGGCATCACAGGGAAGCCTGCAGGGCCCCTCCCCAGGAGAAAGCCCCGGGTGTTCCCCTGTTGCTAAGCAACAGGCTCAGGACCACAGACTCAGGCCTGCCTCTCCCCAGCCCGCCACTCTGCCCTCCCCACGTGGTCACCAGAATGGCAGCCAGGGCTTTTCTCCCCTCAGAAGCGCTACCTGGTCAGACTCGTCCCTAGCATTCAGGACTGTCCTGGCCCTCGCTCACTCAGTTATCTCCGACACACCACGGAACACCTTGGCATGGCCACCCGGGTCCCGTCTCCCTGGCGCCACCCCACCCTCGCCCCCACAGCAGCCCGTCCCCCCACTTCGTCTGGTGGTGCCCATGTGTCCGCAGGTTCCCTGGCTTGGTGATCTCCCTTTGTGCCCATTGCTGTGGCTTCAATATTGGCGACTACCAGGTCCCCAAGGCCACAGTGTTAAGAGGCGTGGACCTTGGGAGGTGAGGGCCTGCTCTGGGGAGTAGGTCTGGCATTGGGTAAAGGGCTGCAGGCTGGAGGGACCTCGCCCTTGGCCCCCGGGAAGCAGAGCAGCCCTGCCAGACGCCAGGGCTTGCGCTTGACCTCCGGCCTCCTCGACCCGAGAGGGAGTTTTGTTCTTTGTAGATTCCCAGCCTCGGGCAGTGTGTCACAGCAGCACAAACGGCATAAAACGCCATCCACTGGAATTCTGCCTGTGTCCCACGGGTCAGAACCGAGGCCACTTCCTGGGAGACCGCTGGCCACTGAGAGCCGAGCCCACATGCCCTGGAGTTAAAGGCCTTACCCGCAACCTCAGGCCCTCAGTCCTGGCTGCATGCCCACACCTGGAGGAGGGAAGAAGTCTCCCTGCAGGGCACTCTGGGGCAAGAGGCAGGGGACCCTACAGATGACAATACAGGAGCCCGGGACTGTGATTCTGATTGTAGGTTCAGAAGAGGGTAAGTTCAGTGTTCTTCCATGGACGTGGGAAGGAACAGGTTTTATTATCAGACCACCTGGGGGCCAGGGGAGCGTGTGTTTTTTGAAATTGCACAGTTGGTTGGGTGTGGTGGTGCACACCTCTAATCCCAGTGCCTCAGGAGGCTGAGGCAGGAGGATGTGAGTTTGAGGCCAGCCTCAGCAACTTAGTGAGGCCCTAAGCAGCTTAGCAAGAAATTGTCTCAAAATAAAAACTAAAAAGGGATGGGATGTGGCTTAGTGGCGAAGCACCCCTGGGTTCAATCCTCAGTATTACAAAAAGGGAAAATAAGGAAAAAATGCATGCTTGATATTTTACAATGAATTTGCTCTTAGGAAGGTTGTTGTTCGCCCTGAGTGCAGGAATCCTTCACGCCAATAACTTCCTCCAATAAAATTTTTTAAATTTTTTCTTTTTAAAATTTTTTTAGTAGTAGATGAACACAATACCTATATTTGTTTATTTTATGTGGTGCTGAGGATGGAACCCAGTGCCTCACACATGCCAGGCGAGCGCTCTACCACTGAGCCCCAGCCCCATCCCCAATAACATTTTTTTTTTAATCTCAAAATAACCCTCAGACAGTGGTCTGTGGCTGGGTATTTCCCTCTTGCTTCGGCTGCCAGGAAGCACTGGACCAACAGTTCAGATGAATACCCTCCTTTTAAAGTTTTGCCCAGATCTTCTGACTTCTATTTGGTTTAGTCATAATGTTCCTATCCATGAAGACAATCTTGAAAGCTCCATCCTCCAGGCCCCAGCTGGAGAGAAACTTCTAAATGGAGCACTGTCCGAGCGAGCCCCAGAGCATCAAGCGCACCACGCCGGGCCTCTGTGCGCGGGCCTCCGGGGGAAGGACCCCTGCCCTCTGGGTGAAAGTGGGAGGCTGGGGCGCGGCGGCCTCTGCAGGCTCCACCCAGCAGGGAGCTGGGGAGACAGGGTTTGGGCAAGGCAGGAGGTGCGAGTGGGGGCTGCCTCTGGGAATCCAGAGAAGCCCCACCTGGGTCCCCATCCCTAGATGTGGCCCTGCCTTGCGGACACCACTGTGGCCACAGTCCCAGGCTGGGCTCAGAACTCTGCTTCTTTAGCGGGTGCCTGCAGCAACACGGCACAGGCTGGGTGCCCTGTCCCTTGGTGCCTTGGTCCCTCCCAGGCCCGTCCTGTCTCTTGCCCCAGAAGACCATCCCGGCTGCGAGAGGCCACCTTGCTCTACCCCATCTGCACTCTGTGACACCGCTGGCACTTGTCCCTTTACGGTGATGACCGCCTGCCTCCTCACTCAGGAGGGATGTATTGAGCACCCACTGCATACGCGCCTGGCCCAGTCTGGGTGGACTGGGGACCTGAGAGCCCTGGAAGCCAGGGCAGGAGGGGAGCTGGGGTGAAGGCTGCCGGGGAGAACCAGGAGGAGGCAGGGAAGGCCTCCTGTAGGAGGGGGCTGGAGGCACCCGGGAGGGCAGAGCCGGGCACAGGCTGGGTGGCAGCGGGGCCTGGGCTTCACAGCCTGGTGCTGCCCCACACGTGCCCACCGCTGCCCACTGTGGCTACTCCTGTGCTGGGTCCCCGTGCGGCCCAGCCTGTCCCCCTGCCACAGAGGCTACCCCTGTGTGCCCCGAGGGTCCACTTACTCCGGAGGCCCTGGGACGGGTGCACGCTGCTGCTCAGCGCTGTGGGCAGGGAGCACTTCTGGCACACGCATTCCTTGCCGTTGAAGGTCACTCGGTCCCCGGGGGGAAAGGGGAGCCTGAAACAAGAGAGCCCGTTACTGCCCAGGCCCCCTCCTGCCCGTCTGTCCCGGAGAGCTGCCGCTCGGAGCACAGCAGGCGCCACAGGCTGCGGACACAGGGCCTCTCCTCCAGGCACCATAGTGTCCCCGTGGGGGGCTCAGGTAGCCGCTGACACGTTTCCATGTCTGCATGAACAGGGAGGGCGGAGCTGCCCACGCCCTGAAGAGGCCTGGCTGGGTCAGCCTGCCTTGACCTATGGGCTCCGTGGCCACCAAGTTCCACCCTGGTGGCCGCAGTGATGGGCCACTGCTGCTGAGCCCCTGCTGGGTGCCCGCCCCCTCCCGTGGGCCGTGGCCTGGCTCTGTCCCCTGCCTCCGTCTCACCAGCTCCAGCCCAGCCACCCCGGCGGCCATGGGGACGTTTGGGAAGCACGAGATGCCACAGTCCCCGGCTCTGTGGGGCTGACGTTCATTCAGCAGGTGTCTCTTGGGTCCTCATTCAGCTCGTCCCTGTCCTTGGGGACCGCGCTCACGTGTGGCTGGGCCGGGCCACGGTCCACAGCCCCCTCACCTCCTCCACTTCCCTGAAGCCCCTGGGCTCAGCCTCCCACCAGAGCTGTGCTCGCCCCGGGGTCTTGTGCTTTGCAGTCCCCCCAGGAATGGGGACTTGGGACTGAGTGGGGTCCGCACAGTCACTGGTGTGATCTGTGGAAGTCTTTAGCTGTGGAACCTACAACAAGTTACTCAGCGTCTCTGTGCTCGTTTTTCGTCTGCAAAATGGAACTAACACAACCCGTTAGCAGCCATCCCGCCAACAGCCCATCTGCTGACATCAGGTGGGCAGCGCTGGCCGTGGCTGGCCTGGGAGCGGCTGGATGCAGGGCAGCTGCTCCTACAAATGTGGGTCACTAATGAGATGCGTCCTGTGGGTGCACACCCACCTGGCCCCGGGGAACACCCATGGCCCCATGGCCTGCTGGCTGTCATGCTGCGTCCGTGGACCTCCCTGCCCAGGAGCCGCACAGTGCCCCTTGCTGGACACGCGTGTCCTGCTCCTCGCCACCAGCAGTGACCGGCACGTGCATTTCCCTGCTGTCTTCTGACTTGGAGCCTCGTCAGCCTGCCAGCCTTCCTGGGCAGGTGGCGTCAGCGCCCCCCAGGACCTGGGGTCTAGAAGGCCTTTATGTGGTCTCCGTCTTACGTGAGTGCCCCTGTGGGTGCCGTCTGTGGGTGCCGTCTGTGGGTGCCCCTGTGGGTGCCCCTGTGGGTGCCGTCTGTGGGTGTCGTCTGTGGGAGCCATCTGTGGTGCCGTCTGTGGGTGCCATCTGTGGTGCCGTCTGTGGGTGCCGTCTGTGGGTGCCATGTGTGGGTGCCATGTGTGGGTGCCGTCTGTGGGTGCCTCTGTGGTGCCGTCTGTGGGTGCCTCTGTGGGTGCCTCTGTGGGTGCCGTCTGTGGGTGCCTCTGGGGGTGCCTCTGTGGGTGCCGTCTGTGGGTTCCGTCTGTGGGTGCCGTCTGTGGGTGCCGTCTGTGGGTGCCTCTGTGGGTGCCGTCTGTGGTGCCGTCTGTGGGTGCCTCTGTGGGTGCCGTCTGTGGGTGCCGTCTGTGGGTGCCTCTGTGGTGCCGTCTGTGGGTGCCGTCTGTGGGTGCCGTCTGTGGGTGCCTCTGTGGGTGCTGTCTGTGGTGCCGTCTGTGGGTGCCGTCTGTGGGTGCCTCTGTGGGTGCCGTCTGTGGGTGCCTCTGTGGGTGCCGTCTGTGGGTACCGTCTGTGGGTGCCGTCTGTGGTGCCGTCTGTGGGTACCATGTGTGGGTGCCGTCTGTGGGTGCCGTCTGTAGGTGCCGTCTGTGGTGCCGTCTGTGGGTGCCTCTGTGGTGCCATCTGTGAGTGCCTCTGTGAGAGCCGTCTGTGGGTGCCGTCTGTGGGTACCGTCTGTGGGTGCCGTCTGTGGTGCCGTCTGTGGGTACCATGTGTAGGTGCCGTCTGTGGGTGCCGTCTGTTGGTGGTGTCTGTGGTGCCGTCTGTGGGTGCCTCTGTGGGTGCCTCTGTGGGTGTCGTCTGTGGGTGCCGTCTGTGGGTGCCTCTGTGGGTGCCGTCTGTGGGTACCGTCTGTGGGTGCCGTCTGTGGGTGCCTCTGTGGGTGCCGTCTGTGGGTGCCTCTGTGGGTACCGTCTGTGGGTGCCGTCTGTGGGTGCCTCTGTGGGTGCCGTCTGTGGGTGCCGTCTGTGGGTGCCTCTGTGGGTGCCTCTGTGGTGCTGTCTGTGGGTTCCTCTGTGGAGCCGTCTGTGGTGCCGTCTGTGGGTGCCTCTGTGGATGCTGTCTGTGGTGCCGTTTGTGGGTGCCATCTGTGGTGCCGTCTGTGGTGCCGTCTGTGGGTGCCGTCTGTGGGTGCCTCTGTGGGTGCCTCTGTGGTGCCGTCTGTGGGTGCCGTCTGTGGTGCCGTCTGTGTGTGCCGTCTGTGGGTGCCTCTGTGGGTGCCTCTGTGGGTGCCTCTGTGGTGCCGTCTGTGGGTGCCGTCTGTGGTGCCGTCTGTGGGTGCCGTCTGTGGGTGCCTCTGTGGTGCCGTCTGTGGGTGCCGTCTGTGGTGCCGTCTGTGGTGCCGTCTGTGGGTGCCTCTGTGGGTGCCGTCTGTGGGTGCCGTCTGTGGGTGCCTCTGTGGTGCCGTCTGTGGGTGCCGTCTGTGGGTGCCTCTGTGGTGCCGTCTGTGGGTGCCGTCTGTGGTGCCGTCTGTGGGTGCCGTCTGTGGGTGCCTCTGTGGGTGCCGTCTGTGGGTGCCTCTGTGGGTGCCGTCTGTGGTGCCGTCTGTGGGTGCCGTCTGTGGGTGCCTCTGTGGGTGCCGTCTGTGGGTGCCTCTGTGGGTGCCGTCTGTGGGTGCCTCTCTGGGTGCCGTCTGTGGGTGCCGTCTGTGGGTGCCTCTGTGGGTGCCGTCTGTGGGTGCCTCTGTGGGTGCCGTCTGTGGGTGCCGTCTGTGGGTGCCTCTGTGGGTGCCGTCTGTGGGTGCCATCTGTGGGTGCCTCTGTGGGTGCCGTCTGTGGGTGCCGTCTGTGGGTGCCTCTGTGGGTGCCGTCTGTGGGTGCCGTCTGTGGGTGCCTCTGTGGGTGCCGTCTGTGGGTGCCGTCTGTGGGTGCCGTCTGTGGGTGCCATCTGTGGTGCCGTCTGTCGGTGCCGTCTGTGGGTGCCGTCTGTGTGTGCCTCTGTGGGTGCCTCTGTGGGTGCCGTCTGTGGGTGCCGTCTGTGGGTGCCGTCTGTGTGTGCCGTCTGTGGGTGCCTCTGTGGGTGCCGTCTGTGGGTGCCTCTGTGGGTGCCGTCTGTGGGTGCCTCTGTGGGTGCTGTCTGTGGTGCCGTCTGTGGGTGCCGTCTGTGGTGCTGTCTTTCTCGGCCCTCGCTGTATCCACACACCACACGATGCACAAGTCCGCGGGTGTCGGTGGGTTCCCAGCTGGTGGCACCACCACGGCCGACTCCGGGATGCCCCAGGGTCCACGGGAGCAGCCGGGCCCCATCTCCTTGGCTGCAGCTGGACTGCAGTTCCCAGCTTCTCTCCTCCTCTCTGTGGACCCGTCCACCCTGTTTCCCGCCTGCGCACCTGCCACTGGGGTCTGTTGCACCTCTGTGGACCGGGGAGGCCCCTCTTGTCACTGCTATGATTCTTGTCACCCCTGTGGTGGCCAACGTGGCTGTGAGGACGTGGTAGGTCTGGGGTTTGTCCTGTGTCGGGCACTTTGTGATCCTCGGGTTTGTGGTTCTCATCAAATTTGGAAAATTTTCATCTATTATTTCTGCAAGTGCGCGCTGGCCTCCCGCCCACCTGGGTGGATGGGCAGAGGGACCGGGAGGCAGGGGCAGGAGAATCCATCCCCTCCCTTCACCGGCTCTTTCCTGTTCCAGGTCTTCTTCTCTCTGAGCTGAGTCTGGAGCCCTTGGCTGCTCCGTGTCACCAACCTTCCTCTGTCCCCCTGACCCTCTGTGGGTTCCTCCCGGGGGTTTCATTTCAGGAACTGTGTCCTTGCGTTTGCACCCCCCTGGCCGCTTCTCGTCCCCTCCCTGGCCCTCCTGCATCTGTCCGCCCTTGCCTTCCCACACCGATGGTATCAGAGTCGTGGTCCAGGGCACACTGCACTATCCTGTGGGGTTTGCTCCCTGGGTGCCTCCTTCTGGGGAGGTCACGTGTTCTAGTTTCTTAGGACCAGTGCATTTTGGGGTGTTGGACATCCCAGATTCTGGTTTTGTGGGCTGGATCTCATTTTCCTGCAGAGTGGGGGGCGCTGGCTGGGTTGGCCTGTCCACCTCAAGACCAGCACGCTCCTCTGAGGCAGCCCTTGGTGGGGGATGGCCGTAGTCTTCCTTCAGGGCTATTTTAGTCACACTGCTAAGTCCTGAGGTCCCTGCGGTGTCTTGGGGTTCAGCAGCTTAGAACTGGGACTTGCTGGGCACACAGTCACCTGGTCACTCCCTGCCCACCTCAGGCCACTCCCTCCGTGTGGCCTTGGCTTGGTATTTGTCCCAAGCCTCAGAGGTGTCCTCCACAGACTTCGGCGGCCACATGCTATGCTCTCCCTGCTACCCTGCCTCCCCGGTCCTCACCCAGAGGACTCCACGCTCTGCCCAGCTTCAAGAGGCCGCTGGGCCAGGGCCGGGCCGGGCCAGGGCCGCACTCTCCTTCCAGCGGATGCCACCCCACCCCACCCCCGCCAGCTCCGGTGGCTGAAGGCAGCAGATGGACGGGGTTTTGTTCCGTCTTCTGCTTGTTTAGGTGGGTGAGGATCCCAGGCCCACGACGCCCGTGTGACCAGCACTGTCTGTTGTCATCTGTGAAACAGTGGATTATCCAGAGGGACCTCTCAGGCCACAGGGACTCGCCACCCTGGTCTCTAAGCCACACACAGAACCACAGCCCAGATGATGCCAGGCCTGCGGGCTGGGCCCACAGATGGCCCTTTCAGGGACGTGTTCCTGCGTCCCTGCTTCCGCTTGTCCCCATCCTCTGACAAAAGCTGACCGCGTTCCCGCTGTGACCACAGGGAGTGTTGGAGCGGGCAGCCGGTCCGTCCTGGGTGTGGTGCCGCAGCGGGCAGGAAGCGGACCCTGCCTTCTATTCTCTCCCTCTTTGTTTCCTAGAAATGGAACGTTCTCCCGGGAGAGCGCGGTCAGGCTGGCTGGGCGGCTGCCCGCTGGCTCCTGCTCGGCCCAGGGGCTGCAGCAGGCAGCGGGGAGCGGGGGCCCTGCAGCAAGGTGAGGACCCACCCTCTCCGTGGCCACCGTGCTAGCTCTGTGCCGGGCCCCGGGTGCCAGGGAGGAGTGAGACGCAGCCCCTGCCCTTCCCGGACTCCCACCAGGCAGCCACAGCCACGGGCTGGAGAAGGGCACGGTCCTGGGGCCAGGGGCACCGCACGGCATGCAGCGGGGGCCACAGGAGGAAGGGCAGGCGCCAGGCAGCGGAGCCTGCGGGGCAGGGCCGTGCACCTGTCAGTCAGCAGGCAGCCTGGGCCTGGCACCCAAGGGTGCTGAAGGGACCGGTGGAGGGCAGACTGGGAGGCTCCTCTGCCAGGCCAAGGGGCTCGGCTGTTCTCTTAGGGCCGCGGGAGCAGCACGGCACGGGGAGCGAGGCAGAGGGGAGGCTGCGGAGGCCTGGGAGTTTCGGCCTGGGTGGGGCAGTGGCTGTGTGGGCATTGGGAGGAGGAGCTGGGGTTCTGGGAAGAGGCCCCATGCCTGTCGGGTGGGGTAGTTCTACAGATGGACGTGACAGGAGGGCTGCTGTGTGGCCCGAAAAGTTGCTTGACCTCTCTGTGCCTGGCGCAGGCTTGGGAGGTTGGCAGTGGGGGAGAAGGAAGCACCGTGCCCAGGAGGCCACTCACCGGCAGACGGCGCACACGAAGCAGTCGGGGTGGTAGGTCTTGCCCAGCGCGGACACCACCTCGCCCTCGATGAACTGGTCGCAGCTGTAGCAGCGGGTGCCGTAGAGCCGCTGGTAGTCCTGGGAGCAGATGTACTCGCCCTGCCGCACGAAGAAGCCACCCTCGGCCAGGTCACAGCCGCAGGCTGGAGGGGGACAGGCCTGGCGTCAGCAGGGTGACCCTCCCCAGGCCACAAGCATGGCACAGGCCTGGGTGTCGGGGTCCCCTGGGGCCAGGCTCCTGGCCTGGAGTGGAGTGGACGTCCCCACACGTGACCTCAGCCCAAAGGCCAGAAGCCTTTCGAGTGGACCTTGCTGACGGAAGCTCCCGGAAAGGGGCGCGCTCTGGGGATGACAGGAGGGCTATCTGGGGGGTGGGGGGAGAGGCCAGCCTCTGTCCTTGCTGGGCAAGTCTCAACCCCACCACAGATGGGGTGTCCACGTCCCCAGGGCCCCTCCTACACCAGGTGGGTGGTCTCCACATGCTGCACAGGGGACGGGTGACAGCCTGAGTTCCTACAAGGGCCCTGCTCTGTTCTGGGCTAGGCCTGGGGGAGGACAGGCATCCTGCCCTGGTCTCCTTGTCCCCACACCCCACAGTGTGGCCGGCAGCGCTGCGGGGAGGAGACGGGCTGCTTTGTCTCCTGCCACGCTGGCTCCCCCTCTGGAGCTGCTGGGCCCGGGGAAGCCATTGTCAGTAGGCAGCAGGGGCCACCCCAGGCAGCACGGGCGCCCCTGCCCCGTCCCCCTCCAGGCCCGGGAGCGCTCAGGAGCCATGTGCAGTCTGGAGGGAGCAGCCTACTGTGTGCCCGGCTGACCCCGTGTCCCAGGGAAGCCCCTCAGCCCTGGGCCACCAGCTGTCCAGGCCCAGTGTGACGGCTCGCAGCCCCCAAGCCCATCTGGAGAGCCACGTGACCTGCACCTCACCGCTGACCCGGGCAGCTCCTGTCACAGCCTGACAATGAAGGTGCGCCCACAGGCGGCCGCTCGCCCCAGGCCTCCAACAGGTGGCAAAGCCAGAGGGAGTCCCCCGAGCCACACCTACGGCCCTGCCCAGCGCTGGGCTACAACGGCTCCAGCCCAGCATGGCCGGCAGCACCCCTCCCAGGGCACGCCTGTCCCTCTCCAGGGAGGGAGGCCTGTGTCCCCCTGGGCCTCTGCATCCTCACGGGGAGCACAAGGCTCCCCGTGGCAGGGACGTCCTTGTTCCCATGCATCCCCCACTGAGAGCTGTGTCTGACACACAGTAGGTGCTCAGTGCGCAAGCGGGTGTCCAGGGGTGTCTCCGTGGCCAAGAGCCGCACCCGCTGCGCACAGCAGTCTGGACCCAGAGCGGCCATTTCTCCACTGGGCTTCCCCGGGGAAGGGTGGCATGGGAGCGATGCCCGGGGCAGGAACCAGACACAACAGACCTGAGTCAGGATTCCTCGGGGCCTGGTCATCCCCAGCTGGCCGACCTGCTTTGGTTTGACTGGTAAGGTGCCCCCAGCCCCGGGATGGGCGTGACACAACTGTCCTGTTCCTGTTGGCCAGTGGAATGGCCATGTGGGCCAGGTCTGGCCAGTGAGTGCCGTGGCAAGTCTGGGGGACCTCAGGAAAAGGAGAAGGCCCTCTGCTGTACAGCCCCCGGCTGCTGGCCACCTGTGAGGGTGGCTGTTGGAGCCACAGCAACCATCTTGAGACCTTGAGGAGAGGCACCAGTGTCATGCCCAGATGGGACGTGGAAGAGGGGACAGTCAGGGTGGGGTAGGGAAGGAAGCTGAGTCCTGGTGACCCTGTTGGGTTGTTAAATGGACCAGCCCTGAGGCGGGGTGGGGCCCCTCCTGGTTTCACGTCAAGGTGTCATGTCCACGTTGGCGAGAACACCGTGAGCTGGCTCTCCTTCCCACCACCCTCAGCGCCAGGAGCTCGGGAACCTGTGTCCCCAAGGAGCCTGGACGACACGCCAGCCCAAGACCACGATGGCCCGTGCTCAGACACACGGCTGTGTGCAGAGCTGGCAGGGACCTCCGTGGCTCTGCACTCCTGAGCAGGGGCACAGGGACCTCCTAGGCACACCCCAGAGCCAGCCTGGCACCTGCCCCTAGTCATGGGAGGCAGGTGGGGCTGGACCAGGGCCATGTGTCCAGGCTCCTTCCCCCACTGCCACTGCTGTCCCCAGCCGGCCTCAGGGAGCCCCACCAACAGTGCGGCCGTGCTGGCCGGCCTGCGCTGACCGGGTCGGCAGGAAGGGGGGACAGTCGTCCCCACCACCTGCCCGCCTGGGGCCCCAGGGGGGATGAGCTGGCCAGGCCCTGCACCTCACTGCAGTCCTGAGGTCAGCTGGTGGAAAAGCCTTTTAGAGGACGTGTGTCCCCCTTCTAACAGCCTCTGAAGGGCCACCTGATGGGCCCGTGTCTCAGAAACGGAGGGATGTCCCGTGCAGAGTCGGTAAGACGGGGCCAGACAGGACCCGGAGAGCCCTCAGGAACAGGAAGAACTGCTGGGCTGTGGGAGGCCCGCGGGGGACGGCAAAGCCCCCGGAGCCCACGTCCCTTCATCCTGGTGGTGGAGGTGGCACCACGGGGACAGGAGCCTGGGTGCTGTGTGAGGTGACTCTGGAGGTCGCCCTCCACCTGTCGGCGCCTCTGTTCCACGTCCCAGGAAGCTGTTCCTTGCAGGTGTGCTAGGGCCACCCTTCCCCTCGCTGTCCTTTCCAATGGCCCAGGGTGTCATCAGGGTTGTCCCCATCACCGACCCCGACTCTGCTGGAACAGGGTGCACCTGAGAATTGACGGGGCCCAGCTTAACCCTGGGCACACAGCGGATGCCTGGATGCAGGTGACACCTGGGACTGGCAGGGATGGTTGCCCCCATGGATGGGGCCCTGAGGGGTGGGCTGCGGCCAGCCTCTGCCAAGGGACTGGCTCTGCTGCCCCTGCCGGCCTCTCAGGGCTTCAGAGATGGGAGAAGAGGGGGATCGTTGTGGTCCCCAAGTCACCGGCTCCCACCAGGCCCTGTGTGCCTCCTGGGTGCCCGACCTCCCTGGGTTGGTGGCCCAGGGCCCTTCTGGGTTTCCCTTCCAACAGCGGGACTCAGGTGGCTGCACCCTGTGGCCTGTGGGGGGGACAGGGCTTCCCCTGTGCTCGCTGTCCCCTTTCCCTACGGGGCGGACCCTGGGCGCCTCCCCAGGAACCCGGGGGGACAACCCGGGTCGGGGCCACAGAGGGGCCCAGAGTCCAAGCTCTGGACAAGCCCAGCGGCCGGCGTGGGAGTGGGTCCGTCCTTCACTGCGGCCTGGGGTCAGTGCGTCACCCCGGGGCTTTGACTTGTGTCCCCAGAGGCTGTTTTATGGGTCTCTAGGGAATTAAGGGCAGCCGCACACGGTCCGGGGGCTGGCAGCGGGGAGAGACCCCGGGGTTCCGCTCCCGTTCATCTTGTCTGGTTATTAGCATTCAGCGTGTTGCTCACGGCATTCTCACAACTAGAGAAAAAGGACAGGGCTCTTCACTGGGAACAAAACGGTGGCGCTCCCCGGCCGGTGGGGCGCCCTTGGCTGGGCGGGAAGGCCGCAGCCCCAGGCTGACCCGTGCGGTCAGCCGCGGGCTGTGGGTGGCGGCGGGCACTCACCTTTGCAGACGAAGCACCTGATGTGGAAGTACTTGTTCTGCACCCGCAGCACCTCCCCCTTGCACACGGAGCCACACGTGGTGCACAGGATCGCGGTGGCCGGCGGCGGCTCCAGGGGGCTGTGAGCGGCCTGGGGCTGCGACACTGCGGACAGAGAAAGCAGCGTGTTAGAGGGTGGGTGGCCACCCCAGCGCCCCACGGCATCCAGGAGGGGCTCTGGCCTGCTCTTGCCTGGGACCAGTGAAGAGTCAGAGCATGTGACAGGTGGCAACCCTGAGGGCCAAAGCCACCTGGTCACCTGCAATGAGCCCCACGCCACGAGCATCCTGGCCCCTCGCCTGAGTGACCAGAACGTTGGTGCCCTCCCGAAGGCGGCCCAGCCCTGCTGCTGCCCCAGGCAGGACCTTCCCAGCGGGCCTCGGGCCATGGGTCTGAATATCCTTGCTGTCCCCTTAAGGTAGGCCACAGTGCAGGGAATAAGGAGGTGCTGGGAGGAGGGATGAGGGCTGGCGTGATGGCACTGTGGCCGACCGTGGGCACCCGGCCGCTCCCTGCCTTCCTCATCCGCATCCCCCCCGGGCAGGGAGGCCGGAGCACCGCATGCTGGGGCCACCCAGGGTCACCAGGGCAGGAGAGCGAGCCCCAGGCAGCCGCGCTGGCAGGTGGAGGCTCAGGGGAGCTGCCCAGCTCTGGAGCCAGAGGGAGGATTGGTTAGGCGGAGGAGCTGCAGACCCACTGGGCGCAGGCAGGAGCCGCAGTGGGTCTGCGGGCAGGGTGGGCAGATGCGGGAGCAGCAGCATCGCTGGCCAAGAAAGGCCATGAGCAGCTGGGGCTCAGTGTGTCAATGCGCCTGCCCAAGGGAACCACTCAAAGGGACTGAGGAGGTCAGAGGTCGGAGGTCCGAGGTCAGACAAGCACAGGGGTGTGGCCTGGGGCAGGTGGCCAGACGCCCAAGTGTGGGTTCTGGTCTCCAGCCCTGTGCACACATCCCCTCCGTCGCAGAAGCGGCTGAGCAGGCATGTCTTCTAGGAGCTGGACAGGAGGAGAGCCCGCCCCCTGCTTGCCCAGCATCAGCCCGGGCCCTGACATCAAGGACACCTCCTCCCAGTGTGGTCAGCGGAGATGAGGCTGTGGAAGAGGCCAGAGGAGCAACATTGTAGCCTCCAAGACGGTGGAAGGGCAGCGAGCCCAGGAGTGCCAGCCGGGGCTCTACCGCCTGTGAGACCCGGGTCAGGCATCTGACGTCCAGCACGGCAAGGTCATGACCTGGGGTTGTTTTAAACCCTCGCTTGTGGGCATCTAATATGGCGGCCACAGGACTCTGGCATGGCAGGCAAGCTGTCAGACAGGCTGGGGGCTCTGGGGAGAGGCCAAGTTGCCTCACCCCATCCCATCTGCTGACCACCCTCATTTGGGTGGGCCAGATCTACCATGTCCAGAAGCTGCCCCAGGGAGCTCCTTGGACCAAACCCTGTGCCAAGAGCTTTCTGTGATCATACTGAGAGCCAGGGCACACAGGCGGAGCCAGGCCACACATGGAAACGGTGGGACCACGGCCCGCGCCCTCTAGAATCCATCCCTTGGCTACGGCACAGCCAGGACAACCTGACAGAGCACACTCATGGGAGGGCAGGCGCCATCTCTAGGTACAACCCCGGGGTCCAAGGACAGCTCTGCAGCAGTCGTCCGAGATGGCACAGCCCGATGACGAGCCCACAGCCACCCTACCATTTGCCCTTGCTTCCAATTCTAGACCAGGCAGAGGAGCCCAGATACGCCCCTCACCAGCCACCCAGGAGCAGGCTCCTTCCGAGAGCCCCAGCCTCCAGGCCGACAGCCCCCAGACCCAGCTGAGCCTCCCTCTCCACTGCGGCTGCCCCGCCCCCACTGCAGGGGCATCCGCCAGCTTCTCAGAGCCACTGCACAGGGGGCCACGTCACGTGCCGACTGTCCCCGTGGCTCATCTCCACGTATTTCCACGACCCTCTTGTGCCCACTTTTCTGGTCTTGGTCTCCATCCCTTGAGGCTGGGTCGAGAGGCTGGGGGTGCAGGTGGAATATCTGGGGGGTCCCAGGTGTCAAGAAAGAGTGAGGGGCGAGGAGGGTGGGACAGAGAAGACAGAGCCAGGAGCCCAGTGTTACTGAGCAGGTCACCGTGCGGGGGGGCTGGACCCAGTCCTGGGGGACTGCCCAGCTCGACCGCTGAGGAGGGAGGCCAGGGCACTGGCCCCACCCTCCTATGAGGGTCACCCAAAGGCAGAGACCCTCCCCCCTCCTGGGCTGCAGGTGCCGTGGACGCTCACAGGGGCAGGGCCACTGCCACCCAGCTGCAGCTAAACCCACAGGTGGCCACGGGCCAGGGCTCTGGCGCACTCGGCCCAGACACAGGACTGGTGCTCGCGTATCTGTATGAGAAGGCCGAACACCAGCTGGGCACTCCGGGCCCGGTGGTCCCCTCCCTGCAGGGACAGTCAAGGAACCGAGGCCCAGACGAGGCGGCTCCCCAGCTCCAGCCCGCCCCGCGGCTCCCGGGGCCCACTGCCAGCAGCCACCTGTGGCCAGGACAGGCAGGACAGTGCTCCTCTGCAGAGCCTGCCCCAGAGGGAGGTTGACCACGGGCGGCCCAGGAGGGAGCCAGGTCATTCTGGGGACAGCAGGCCTTCCAAGGACAGGGATACTGGGTAGCTCAAGGTTGAGGACGCAGCTGCTTGGGGACAAGGTAAGGTGTGGCCTGGAGACGCAGGTGCAGGAAGGAGGTGAGCACCTGAAAACCAACTCAGGTGGCCCTAGGCACCCAGCACTGTGTCCACGCCCACCTGGCCTCTTAAGAGGCCAAGAAGCTACACAGCAGAACGGATGGAGCAGAGCCCAGCCAGGTCCTGTGAGCCTCCACCGCACCCTGGGGGCAGCCGGACACTCCCCGCAGGGGCACAGCCTGCCCACAGCCCCTCCTGTCCGTGAAGCTGGTGGGGGGAGCCGCGAGCTCCGTCTGCCTCCTGGGCTTGGGCCCAAGCAGCTCAGTGCCGAACAGGCGTCCCCCAAAGCCCCAGATGGCACCTCCTCCAGGCAGTACAGGGGCTCGTGGAGGTGACGTCCCAGTGAGTCACCCCTGTCCCACCTCAGCTCAACCAGAGATGGTGGGTGGGGTGATGTGGCTCTGTCCTCATCCACTAGGGACACAAAGGACAACACGCTGCCCTCCATGAGCAAGGCAGGGGTCTCAGCTGGAGCCCGGCTCAAGCCCAGGAGAGGAGAAAGGTCAGTTTCGGGTTCCTGGGGCCAGCACGGGCTGTGGGGTCAGTGGCCCAGGACACAGCCTCAGCTGTGTCCCCTCAAGGGTTGTGTCCCTGGACCCCCAGTCTCCTGTCCGTCCATCCGTCTGTCTGTCCTGTCACCCATCACTCACCCTCTGCTCACATTGCCTGGCCGGGGGTGGCAGGCAGGAAGCTAGGACCACGGCAAAGCCATCTGCCTAGCAACCAGCCCAGCCAACAAGCAGCGCTCAGTACACAATGACCTGGGTTATCGGGAGAACACAGGCTGACATCACCAGTGTCCAGGCTGTGGAAACATCTCTGCACTTGGGGGGCTATTTTAAGGGCATGATTCACAGGCTGCAACCCCGCCCACCTGTCCAGCCCATGCAGCTGGGGCCTCTGCCTGCAGGGTCGGCGGCTGTGATGCTGCCCTCTGGTGGCAGGAATAGACGCTGCGACGTGAGGGCCACTCCTCTTGGTGCAGGTTTCCCTCAGGGGTGGTGAATGGGTGTAGATGTGAGGTGTGAGTCTTGTGCCCCCATGGGGGGCTCATTCCTAGCATGACCACCGTAGGGCGCTGCAAGGTCAGCACCACAAGACCCCGCGAGGCCCTGAGTGCTTCCTCCTGGCTTCTCTCCTGTCTGTGGCTGACATCATCAGGCATCACGACCTTCCTGGGGCACAGCTGCTCTGTAAGGCAGCCTGCAAAGCGCCACCACCTCGTGCTGCTGCTGCGGCTGCGTAAACTCAGGCTCAGGGACGTGGCCTGCCAGCCACGGCAGCAGAAGGAGGACATGGGGCCATGCCAGGGGTCTCTCCACGTGGCCCCCAACAGGACGGGGCTGTTCTGTGGTCCACCCCAACTGTGATGCACGAGGAGGCCTGTGGAGATAGAAAGCTGGCGCTGGCCAAGGACAGAGCCCCGGGGTGCAGGGCCGGGTGTGGCTCAGCCAGCCAGCCTCCCCAAGACCAAGCCCCACAACTGGAAGCTGGGCAGGCCGCCCTGAAGGTGGAGGGCAGGGGGCCCTGAAGGTGGAGGGCAGGCTGGCGGCCAGAGGGTGCACACGATTGCTGGAGAAAACAGCTTTTCAAGTCACAAAGGGCCCTGAGCAAAGCTGCCAGGACATGGTGCCCCCCAGCAGGGCCACCTCCTGCCTCCCATAGCTCAGGGCCCAGGACGGACACTGGTCCCCAACCTGGCCGCGCCCAGGCTCTGGGTGCAGAAGGCAGCCAGGGACAGCGTGTGGGCATGAATTGCGGCTTGCTCCGTGTTCTGGAACCCTCCTGCCCACCAGCCCGTGCCAGGGGTGGGTCAGGGTTGCTCGGCCTCCTGCCACCCCCATGAAGCCAGGTGGTCGTCCATCTCACGGGTGGAAACCGAGGCCACCAGAAGCTGTTTCCCCCGCAGGTACAGGAGGCGCGCAGAGCACTCTCCCCTGAGCCCTGCCCGAGTTCGCCGTTCAGGGACCCAGTCACTTGATTCCTAAAATATCTTCAGTGATTCCAAATGATTCCCAGACATCAGACCTGCAGACTGCTGGCCCCCGTCAGCAAGGGCTGGCCCGGTCATGTGGCCCACAGGCCACCTCTGGGAGTCTGGCCTGGTGGGCCAGCTCCTGGGCTGTCCCATCCGCGGGCTGCCTTGGGGAAGTAGGGATGAGACATTCTGATCAGCCCGGAAACCACACCCCAGATGCAGCCTGGCCCGGGAGGGCTGAGGCTGGCCCCAGAAGGCTCTTCCGGAGACCGCGGTTGGCAAGACCTGTGAACAGCACCACGGCCTGGATCCACGCGAGAGAGCCTGCTGGGTCTTCCAGAATCGCAAACTAGACGTCCACATGCCTGGGCCATGGTGACATCTGCCCCTCCCGGGCAGCGGCCGCTGTG